ATACGATTTTAGGAATTATAATATTTTCCTAAGAATTGTATATGATGACGGATTTCATATATTTTTGGTAATTCATAGTTGAATTAGACGTTCAGCCACGTTTTGAACTGAATTTATCGATTTCAGTTTTGTACTAAAAATAAAAAAATACAACAAATCCAATAAGAATAAATATTAAGTATTTAAAGGATTTTTAGTAAGTACTTTAGAAACTCATATCAGATAATATGAAACAATATAACTTCGATACTTCGTTTGCACAAAGAAAATAAATGAATCAAACAAGATCGTTATGAATCAATGCAAAGTTTTCTTTCACCGTAATAAAAGAAGTTGTGCAAATTATATTATTTATGGAAAGTACTTTGTTTGGTGAAATACTTTTACTTTTCCGTTCCGTGAACAATGGAATTGTAGAAATGCTTACGAAATTTTTCTCTTGTTTATGCGCGGGTCTGTCCGTGGCTTTGATAAAAAGTCATTTTATATTCTTACTAGGAGTTATCTGGTATCTCCACTGAGTCCAACATGGTTTAAGTATTCTTTAATTACTGGCTAATCCGGCATAACTCTAACAATGCAAATGGGTAACAATGCATTTCGACCAAATTTGATTACAAAAAAACGGTTTTTTCAACTTGCGAAAAGGTAAACATATACTGTCGAGGATATATTTTGTCATTTAAAGGGAAATCATTCCTTTATACATATTTTATGGATGTTTGAATTATTTTCGCAACGCAAACAAGGGAAGCTCTCAAAAAACTTTCCCAACGTTTTCCACGTTTTTCATTGTTTTTCCGCTCCTGTTAGTCGCAGCGTGTTATATAACCGAAAGCCTTCCTCGATAAATGCTCTATCCAATACCAAAAAATGGAACTTCAAAATTCCAACCAGTAGTTCCTAAGATAACTTAAATCAAAGTTAATATGCTATTTCATTTTTATTCTGCACTCACTTTTTACTATTCATAAGATCACAATAACACCTGTTTCTTGTAAAATCTTATTTGTAAGCAGACAATTTGAATATCTCAACTATAAAGATTGTTGGAACAGTCTAGACTATGCGATAGTTTTTATAGTTGATAAAAACATGTATATCTTCAGTATATAAGTTCAGTTCTTTACATCTTTTGATGATGATCAATCGGTTGTGATTACGAATCGACGAAAACCACTCTGTAGGAAGGTTTGGTTAGAATGTATAATAAATTCAAATTTAAATAATTTACTAACAAATTTATTTTATTGCTACCTAAGACTCAAAGTGGTAAACACTATGAGTCTTTTAAGATCTCAACCCAAAAACTACCTTTAACTCCATCACCTGTAGTGACCTTGATCTCTTTACTCTAGAGAAGAATGCATTTACAATAAAAGCATCGTACAGAACTCTTTTTTTAACGATTCTGGTTGAACCTTGCACCCAAACTTGTACTGTGTTGTTTTTCTTTTTTTCCCTTCTAACTCTAAATATATATAGGATCTCTTTTGTACTTTTCGTTCTATTATCGAAAACTTTCCCTAACTTTACTATTCTACTCTTCTTGTTCTAAATTATTTATAACTATTAGCTGTTAAGTTTTCCTAATGTTATTAAAATAAAAATAAAATAATATTTATTTTTATCTAAGCTCGCATTTTTGTAAATTGTTATATTTCTGAATCTAAAAGCGAAAACTTTTAATTGGCTTCCTGATATCTAATTTGTCGACTCTACTCTAGTTTTCTAGTTTCTAGTTTTGCATACGTGAATAAATAAATGAATTATTACTTTTCTTTGGAAGGACATTACTCAGCTATTCCTGTGTGTGCTGTGTCAGCGCCAATTTTCAGTGATGTCCCATAAATGACACTTAGAGTGACGGCCAGAAACAAAATCTAAAATTACAAGTTTACAAGATTTTCACTTACACACCACTAAGTACGATCCCCATTGATTGAAGCTATCTTTCATATTTCATAAACATTCATTTAAAATCTTATATGTTCGTAAATTACGTTTGAAAATTTCTAATAAATAATAAACCCACACACTTTTTAGCGGAGAAGTAAAGGCCCGTTGTAAAATATTGTGAAAAATTCATTTTAATCTTAAACTTTAAATTCCCTGTTCATTCAACCTTGAAGCAGAATTTATGCAAAGTCGGTTATTCTGACTCAAGAAGTACTACGTCGTTGAAATGGTTTTCTTATCTTGAGAGAACTCAGTTATTTATTGTCGTTGCTGACGGTACATAACTTTTTAGCTGTTCGTGGGGATCCGTGACCTAAGGGCAAAAAAATCTACATCTATACTAATATATAAAGCTAAAGGGTTTGTTTGTTTGTTTGTACGCGCTAGTCTCAGGAACTACGGGTTCAAAATGAAAAAATATTTTTGTGTTAGTTAGTTGTCGAGGAAGACTATAAAACATTGCAATCTTTCTAATAGGAGCAAAAAAGTGGAAATGTGGAAAAAACGGGGAAAACTATTAATTTTTGTGGGTTTTCAATCAGTACGCTGCGAAAGCGGTTCAAGATACCCAAAAATGTGCATAAAAGAATTATTTATCTTTAAAGGAGGAGGTTTGCAAAAATTAATTTGAACGCCCAAAATACCTATTCTACACGGACGAAGTTATTGACAAAGCTAGTAGTTTGATATAAGAAAACATACTGTCTAAAATGGCATCTTTTCAGAAACACAAATAGATTCAAAACGATTTAAAAATAGAAACAGATTTAGAAATAATACACTTATAACAGTTTAAAACGCGACATATTAATATAATATATTTCACATACATTTTATGATATGGGAGGACAAAGATAGCGCATCTTTCATCGTCGACCTATTTTGGCTTTCGATATTCGGAAACCACAGAGTGCAACCGAAACGCCATTAAACTTCACGGCATTGTCATCTGTGGTGGTTAGTGACCAAATTTCCCGACGAAATCCAACATGTTACAAGAGAATTCAAAATTCATTAGAAACATTTTGCAAGCTCGTGTAACTACTCAATGGTTATAATAAACCAGTTTTAACGTTTAAAACTGTGCGATATACTAGTTAACTATTGTTCCCCCGAGACCACTGCTGCAAAGCATCCGAAACGTCGAGCCGTAGTTAAAATAAATGAATAATTAGTTAACTAGCATATTTCGCATTTTGAACGTTAAAAGTATTGTTTTATTTATTTATTTGTTGTTACTTGCGGAAACTGCCGATACTACTTAAAAGTTATTATAATATCTTTCTGCCCCTAAGAGGAACAAAATTCTTCGTGCGAGAGTTCGATTAGTGTCTGTTTTTTATTAATAAAAATGGAATTAAAAATAAGTAACCCTGCGTGGAGAAGACCCCATATCCACATGTTCTATACCAGAAGAGTAAACAAAAACAAATGACATCAAACCATTTTATTACCGTGCTCAAAACTTTAATTTATGTTACGAAAGATTGGGCTTCATGTGAACTGCAGAAGCACCAACTCGTAAGTGACAATAGTTCCGGCCACCTGGAATCAATTTTAAGAGCGAGGCCCCATTAGTGCGTTGCGCCGCGTTGCGTCGTCGCAGCGTCGTCGCTGCGTCGTTTTCCATACATTTTATATAACATGCCCCATTAGACCGTTGCGTCGTCGCGCGCGTAGTTTCAACGGATCGACGGACAAGAGACGAAGCGGGAGGGGGGTGATGCGCTGCGTTGTCGGAGCTCCGCTGCGACGACGGACAGTGATGCACTGCTAGAGGAGGAAGCTAGACGAGCGTAACGACATTTTTTATCTTACCATGAGTGAGCAGAATATTGATATAGATTTTCTCATATCCTTGGTCCAAGAAAGACCCATTATATGGGATAAATCACACGAACATTACAGTGATAAATTTCGTAAAGCGAATGAATGGGTAGCTGTTTGTAAAAAAGTATTTCAAGATTACGACGAGTTTGAGGACCAAAAAAAGAACAAGATTGGTGAGTTGGTATTTGTTATATTATTTGTAAATTCAATACATAAGTTAATTTATATCTTTTTCAACTGCCATGGTAAAGCCCCTTCTGGACTCATAAAGTAATTAGCAAATTGATCTCTGATAAAATTTTCGGCTAATGATTCTTCACTGCTATGGGGTCTCAATTGTGGGAACCTACTTATTGCCATATTGTCTTGTTGTTTTAACCCATCGTGTTGTATAACAAAATGAAGAAACGGAACGAAATGAAAACACATTATCATCTTCTCCATTTCCTACAAAAGAAATGTCCTCGTTACCCCCAGGTCCTTCTCGCTACGTGCCTGCAAGCCGTAAGAGATCAAACCAAGCAATAGATGATTTCGAGGCGCAAGCTTTAGAAGCGTTGCAAGAGAAAGAAAACCGCCACTTATCATTTTTCAAAGGAATTTTGCCTTCTTTGGACAGCTTTACGGAATTACAAACTTTGACGTTCCAAAGCAAAGTTATAAATATCATTACCGAAATTCGGTTCGGGGAACAGACTCAATCAACAACATTTCAATCACGCGGATATCAAACTGGACAACAGTATCAAGCAACACCATTGCAGTCACGCGGATATCAAACTGGACAACATGCCCAGTCACCATCGCCATCGTCGTATCGAACAGACGAATTCGAAGCTACCTATTCAACCAACACTACGATTAATAATTTTACTGATGATAGTCAAGAAGAAGATTATAACTTTGCTTTGTTGTCTAATAGTAACACTTAAATTAAACTGTTTTTAAAGATAATAAATTAATAACTGATTAACATTACGAGTATTATGATATTTGAATTACTTACCTCAATGTAATACCAATCATTTCAATTGGTTCTAAAGGGTTCCTGAATTTGGTATACTGCTTTTGTATATGTGGTTTTAAGGTTTCAACCAAATTATTAAAGCTGGCCACACTCATTCGAAAAAAATTGAAAAAAGTCTTTTCATCTAATAACAACTCCCTATATTCCTGCATAAAAAACTGACCATCACTATTTCTTAATGCTATCAAAGGAGATATCCAGAATCTTCTATGATTTCTACGTTTATTTCGGCGGTGCCGTAATAAAAGCAACAAAAGAACACGTTTGTATCTATCCATTGCAAAGGCTGAACTGAGACGCAACTGCGTCGACGTGCATGCCCGCTTGCGTTGCGTTGGCGCAGCGTCAACGCAACACAGGTGTGGCATACAATGCGTTGTTCCGTTGCGATGACGCGACGCAACGCAGCGCAACGCACTAATGGGGCGGTACGCTAAGAGTAAAATCATTAAAATATTATGTGACTGAAACTGATTTCTCTCTTGGCTCTGAAGCCAAGTTCAATATGATGAACGAATAAGATACTTGGCCGCCTCTGTAGCTATATGGTTGAACGTGCTACCTAGCACTGCGTTAAGCGCGAGAGGTCTTGGGTTCGGATCCCGGGGAAACGATAAATTGTTTCGGTCGGGTAGGGCACAAAACTCTGATCAACTTGCCTGTAAAAAAAAATCGATCAGTGAAACGGACACAGATTAGTTTTTGCCCTATGCCCCACGAGGGGAAACTGGATTTCACTCTCTCTCTCTAAGATATTACTTTGACGTTAGTATCGTGTTTTATACGTACTACTCGCGTAAACTGTAAATGTATTATTTTTTTAGGTTACTTAATGTAATGTATTTGCAAACAACATATAAACGACGTGCGCTGTCTAACTATTTTGGGTTTAGATATTAAGAAATGCACAGACTAAAACCAAAATGTCGGTTTCAAACCTTTTACATCTGTAGATAAACCCAGACGAAGTCCAACCTTTCAGAAAGTTTATTCATTGAATAAAAATCTATTGTAAATTTGAAAAAAAATACGACTCGGACAGGACTTGGACCGGCATCATCAGCGTTACGTAGTTTTGCTCTAATCAATTGAGCTACCAAGTCCTAATTTTTTTCAATTTATAATCGATTTTGTCCAAAATTATGTTGGACGCTGGAGTCGAATCCACGATCTGTGTATTACTCAATCTTTATTTAATATACCTTAATTAGTTTAACCGTACTAGATTATGTCGCCCAATCGGACATATAATTTCTTTGCCTCTTACCGAAAGCACCAGTTCTCTTGTAATGTGGAAAAAATTCATCCCGGTAAGTGCCACGTTATCCCCGTGGACTTGCTCGATGAACCTCTGCACCTGATTAATCACTCTATTAATTAAATAATCTACATTAATATTATAAAGCTGACGAGTTTGTTTGTTTAAACGCGCTTATCTCAGGACCATATAATTGTATACCTCAACACAGTAGACCGGAGAAGGCACAGCATAAAGGACGGGTGCGGCCAGTAAAGTCGCGGAGTGGACTCGCGCTGCAATCAGCGACACAGCCAAAGAGCGAGAAAGCACGAAAACCAGTGAAAATGTCATGTAGACTACATTCTCTAAGCCTCCGAATGGCCTGAAATAATTTAAGCCCCCTTAAATAAAACACTTTAAACGGTTTTTCAACGGTTCGTTAAAAAATAAAATACACATACCCGGAAGGATAATTCGGACAATCGTAGTCTGAAACTTCTTCAAGATTGAAACTAGTTCTGTAAATTTAAATAAAACACTTTAACGGTTTAAAACGCGATATATTAGTTAAACTTATTTGAAAATTATTTTTAACTTCGGCCCGACGTTTCGGATGCCATGCAGCAGCCGTGGTCACGGAGAGACTCGCGTAAACTATAGACAGTATTTAGTTCTGTAAAATAAATATTCTTCTTTTTAGTTTTAACGCGTTTTCCTTTAAAGTAAAGACAATATTACAAGTACATCACTTATTTATTGCTTTAGATTATTAAGTATATTGACGGGCTCGTAGGTGTAATGGTAGCAATGTATACCTAATAGTCGACGGGTCGTAGATTCGATTATCACAGGGTAATTTTTTTCTAATCAACACTTAAATACTGTCTATAGTTTACGCGAGTAGTACATTTTAAAAATAAAACACTTTAACGGTTTAAAACGCGATATATTAGTTAAACTTATTTGAAAATGATTTTTAACTTCAGCCCGACGTTTCGGATGCTTTGCAGCAGCCGTGGTCACGGGGAGACTGAAACGTCGGGCCGAACATAAAAATCATTTTCAAATAAGTTTAACTAAGATATCGCGTTTTAAACCGTTAAAGTGATTTATTTAAATGTGTACTACTCGCGTAAACTATAGACAGTATCTAGTGTTCTTTCTTCTTCTAGAAATCTGGATATTTTAATGGGTGATAGGATTATCTAAATTCCGTCAGGTTTATGAGCCACTGTCCACAGATAAAAAAGCCGTGAAGTTTAATCTCGTTTCCATTTCCCAACTGTCCGTATTCAAAATAGGTCGACCACGCATACTACTACATACTACGCACTTCAGAGACCACGTTAAGCCGTCTCGGTAATCAAAGTTATTTGAAGCCCACATCTAACCTATTAAACTTTCTCTTCTATACGAGAGGAAGCAATCTTTCCTACGCCCAAACAGACCAGAACAGTGTCGTATTAGCAGATAATGAGAAAGTACTATACTCACGATAAAACGAAGAACAGCTGCAAGCAGATGAAGAATAGATTGCTCGCGAAGGCTACGAATATGATACCGTTAATGTTGTCGTCAAACACGTGGATCAGTCGAGTCGCATTGCTGTAGTCTTCCCGGAGGCTCCTCCAGAACGACGGCGGGCGAAACTAAAGGATAAATAATAATAAAAAATACGTATGTTCACGAGTGTAAAGAAACGATAACATAAAAATATAAGTATTGTCCGTATTTTACGTAAATAATTGAACCTAAATATGTAAGTTCTACGCAGTATGTGGACGCTCTTAATCAGTCAATCTTATATACCGTTTTCTCGATGATGCAAACAATATCATTTGCTGTCTGTGAAATAACATGTGGACGATCCAAACATTTAATATTTATATTTAATTTTTTTGCATTAGCTTAGTAGTACTTCCTTAATACTTACCTGACCTTCCGTAGAGACAAGTTTCTTGTTAATATGTTCAAGTATAGAGCTCAAGTACAGACTTATGCAAATTATGAAGACGTGGGAATAGTTCCAGGTCAAGTTACACAATATGTTGAGAATCTGAAAACATACTCAATTAAAGAAACAGATTGTATTAGTTTAAATAAAACACTTTGACTTTTTTTAGCAGCCGTTGTCACGGGGCTGCAAAGCATACGAAACGTCGGGCCGTAGTTTAAAATAATTTTCAAACAAGTATAGCTAAGATAAATCGCGTTTTAAACCGTTAAAGTGATTTGTTAAATGTGTACAACTCGCGTAAACTACAGACAGATCGTATTAGGCTTTTTGCATTTTTGAGCTGTTAAGCTGTTGTTAGAATTTGTTTTCAACATCGAAAAAAAATGATATTTTAACCGTTTAAAACGAGATTTATTTTTGTAAATATATTAGTTAAACTTATTTGAAAATCATTATAACTACGGCCCGACGTTTCAAATGATATATATTATTTTCAAATAAGTTTAACTTATATATACCATTTGCAGTCGATTAGTTCAAATTCTGATAAAACGTAGAAACAATTTTTCACGAATACAGAAGAATGCTGATCACTTCTATCAGTTTACAGAGAAAATCGCTAAAAAAATAAAAATTAATTTGCTTCGTAAATTATAAATAAAGACAAAGTTGTTTTTTCCATTTACCACGTTAAATACTCCAATGAACGTGTTATACTGAAAATTAGTGTAGAATAGCCATTCAAAATATTGTTCTGTGTACATCCTTAATATGTCCTGTATGTTTGTGTTACAATCGGTTACATGGCTTAATCTTGTCAGTAATGCAAGGGAATGCTCAACTGAAAATACATTATGTTAAAATTGTTAAGTAATCAATGAAATGAAATAATTAAGGGAAGTCCTGAGTTCGTGAATAGCAAAATTAAAAAAAAACTTTCAATCGAGTATACGCGTTACGTTGTTTACGCGATTAGTACATTTAAATAAAATACTTTTAATGGTTTAAAACGTGAAAAATTACTTATTTTATTTTAACTATAATCCGACGTTTCTGATGTTTTGCAGCCTTGGTCGCTGGGGGTGTTTTAAAATAAGTTACCAAATATATTTCGCGTTTTAAACCATTAAGAAAAAGTTAAACACTCAGAAAAAAGACAAGTTTACTTAATTTTTCAGGGAACTGCTTTTTGTCAAATAGCGTCTATATTTGTACTTGAATAATTTTAAACTCTACGTCTTTATATTTGTCGACTAACCGCAATTTCAATATTATTTGCATCATTTAGCTATAAATAACATAAATTTTTGAAAACACATGATGGCACTGTAGAATTTAACCAGATTAGAGCAGCAGCGCGGAGCGCTGACGATGCCGGTTCAAGGCCTGCCCGATTCGTAATTTCTTAAATTCATTTTTGATTTTTAAACACAAAGGTCTTTAAAATTCGACGATTACATGGATTCAAATGCTGTTTTTTAGCCAAAAATATTTTTACAATTTACAAGTACTTACAGAGGGCGAGACTCATACAAATAATTGTGACTGTTGCGCATTTACAATGCATATACGGATCCACATATTCATCTAAGCGGGACTCTGTTAGTTCCCTGTTTAGTGACTGCCATCTCTTTGCAAGACGCAGGAAGAGTACAGTAGTCATGAACGTTGTAGCGTAAAATGATAAATATGCTGTAATTTTTAAAAGTATTTATGTAATTGTGAACTGAGTTGTCAGTTTATAAAAAATCGAGATATTGCTCGCGCTGCTTACAATTAAGAACGTAGTTATACACTAGTAGCTGTGCGAGCGACTTTGTCCGCGTATAATAGTTATTCTTGGAATCAAAATTTGTTTTTGTAAACTTTATCTTATCTTCTTCTTTTTCTTATTCTTTTTTTTGATACATATTTTTTTGGGGATCTTCGTCCGTTTTCGCAGCGGACGCAATGAAGCCCACAAAGATGAATAAATTTCCCCGTTTTTTTCACATTTACCATTCTTTCTTCGTTTTTATTAGGCGCGAAGTGTAAATTATAGTTTAAAGCTTTTCTCGATAAATGTTTATAACCAACACAATAAGAATTTTCCAATTCCAACCAGTAGTTTCTGGGATTAGCGCGTTCAAACATACAAACAAACCTTACAGATTTATAATATTAGTACTGAAGGTTTTGCTGTACTGTAAAATAACGTTTTTAGATTATACTTACCTAGAGCTGTAAGTGTTATAGATTTTTTTGCCAAATCAACAAAGCATAAGAGAACTAACACTAACTGCAGAAAACACAAAGCCAGGCTATACAAGTGTTTGAATGACATTATTTTGAGTCTGTAATAATAAGAAAGATACGTTTGTAAAAGAGTCGACTGCCACCGATGCTCAAATGTTTTAGAAACAATAATTTACGACAAAAAAAATGATTAAAAATATTCTTATTTTTCATCTTCGTCCAATTTCTTGCGCAAGCGCGGTGCACTGTGGATGCCGGTTCAAATCCCGTCCCTGTCTTCAATTATTTTCAATGTAAAAATATTATTTTACTCATAGCATTTACAGAAATAAAACGCCATTCTTTACACAGTCTTTCAGTTTGATTGTAAAGAAGCAAGTTTATTTAAAAAGATACCTTATTTCTGATACATCGTTTCCTAGTGCACCAGATACCGGATTTAGACCGATGCATTGTCCCACAATGATAAAAGCACTCGTCGACCGTCGAAAAGCAGATTGTTGATTGTCGAAATCGCATCGACAATGCTGCTTCAATTTGTCGATATCTACAGTTAAAAAAATTGTAATAAATAATTAATTTAATTGAAGTTTACTCTTAAATTATGCTCTGTGAATCAGTATTCTTACGGCAATATATGATTTTTAATCTATATATTATATACATTTTAGTATGTTGTGTGGGTAAAATCGAATTAAGGATAATTTACAATAAGTTTTTGATAAATATTACCAATTCTAAGATTTACTAGTTTGTTTGAGGTATATTTTTGGAACTATTGTTAAACAAGTTTCCTCACATTGCGTTAAGGAGTAGGCGCCTTTAGTTTGATTCCCGGAATAAAATACCCTACGGTGACAGTAATATTTTCTTCCTGTGGGGAAACGCGATTTTACTTCTATTACTTACATTGAAATAAATATTCGCAATTGAAACGGTTTAAAATATATCCTCCATTTTGTTGCTCGGCTCTAAGTCTAAAACATATTATTAAGATAAATATTTTAATATATAATCAACGGGTTGCAGGTTTGTTTTTCACCGGGTCCAATATGTCTCTCATCAATATATATCTTTATAACTTTTAATTATAATCTTTTACATATAATCGATATATATCTTTTAAAACATGTTAATCGTTTGAAAACTTAATTGATAGAGCAACAGCACGGAACGCTGACGATTTCGGTTCAACTACTGCAGGAGTCGAAATTTTTTTCAATTTATTTTCGATTTTCAAATTATATGTTGAACTTTGGAAATCTGGATATTGAATAGGACTATCGAAATTCCGTCCGGTTCAAAAACCACCGACTCAGATGAAAACACTTTGAATTTGTCGCGTCGGTTTAATCAATTATCCAAAGCCAAAATAGGGCGACAGCCTATCTTATTAAACGTTATATAGATGGGGTATTTCACCTTTCATTAAGTGACCCCCATAATTGTCTGTTCTCTTTTATCATAAATAATTATAAACAATATTATCATTTGACTCACCTTATAATCTGATTATTTTCCGCGGTTGTAGCGAAATTTATATTCTCAATTTCTCTGTTAAGGTCAAAACGTGTCACCCCTGCGGTTTTAAAAAAATATTATTCACAAGTTTTAAGCTTAATTACAAAAAAAAACCCAAAATTTTAGTACTTTTCTCTTTGACATCGACGTTCAAAGGATGGGCCATTATTTGAGATGATTTAAAAATTAATAGCGCTTCCTGCGCCTTCCCGATTATAAACTTTATAAAGAGAAACGCTCAAAACATAATGACAACATTAAATATTTTGAAGGAAAATTATGACTACAAAACCACCTAAGTACACCATTACAGTTATAAGTAGGGTTGCAACGATTTGTATATTCGGCTGCATACCGAATATTCGGTAAGCCCCTCGACCGAATAACCGAATGTTCGGCGAAATTACTCGGTTAAATTTAAGCTAAAATTCTAAATAGATGGTGCCCATTTTTTACTAAATATGAAGTCCCCATAACGAAATACAACACGAAACACAACGTGAGTATTTAAATAAAACACTTTATCTAAAATTATTTTAACGGCCTGAAGTTTCGACTGCTTTGCAGCAGCCGCGGTCACGGGAAGACACGGGTCTAATTTTTCAAACAAGTTTAACTAATATTTATCGCGTTTTAAACCGTTAAAGTATTTTATTTAAATGTGTACTACTCGCGTAAACTAGAGATAGTATTAATTAATACGCAACGAAAGTATCCGAATAATCGACGGCGAAGAGTAACCGAATATTCTTTGCAAGCCTAGTTATTTGTAAGCGATGGTTAATGTATGTATCTTGATTTGTATGACATCTGGATTTTAACAGAATTGTATTAATCAAACAGTACTTAGAACTCTGATTTTGTGAATCCGATAAAAGCGAAGATGTGTTGCCGATAACATGACAAGTGGACGATAAACTTTTATGGATTCTTCATGTATACAAATTGTTAAACTTTACCCTAATTGCGACACTTTACTAAATCTACGGAATGAATAATTTAATAGTGACAAAACATACAATATTATTATATGTAGTTAAAACTCTAGGCATTGTAAGCGTTTTGGAAAAACGTTACTAATCGAGAAATAATAAATGACAAAATGAAAGACAAAAAAAATGGATGTTATGTGTTGTATACCGTTACCGATAAATCCACCACAGTACACTGGAAGTGGAATTTCTATAAACGCTTCTATGCGATTTTTACTTATGATATTTCAAGAAACTAAATTATATTTCTTTATAGAGGAAAATACGCAAACAAGCTCACTTATCGAAAGGCGAAATACCATCAGTGATTTCTAAACAAAATGTGGTATCGACCTATTTTGGTTTTGGACATTCAGAACTACGCAAAGTGATTACACTTTACGACTTTCCATATATGAACGGTGTTTCGTTTCAGTATTCCCACTATCCATTTATGATCAAGATTTTTTGAAGCCTAGCATATTGTTAAAAAGTTATAAATTTCACCATTTATAAATAAAAAGGATTATTATTGGTGAGAATCGAACCCATTGATTAGGTAGATACCATTTAAACAACAGTGTTAATTTAAAAGTATTTATTAGTAATTAAGGAAATCTTTGAAAATCTCAATTAATAAGAACAAAACTATGCTAATGAATGAGTAGTCATGAAACAAAATTAGAAGAAGATGAGAGTGAGCCGACGTCTTAACCTGCGCGAACGTGTTTGTACTTGTATTCGCGCGAGTTACTTCGCCGAAAACTTGGTTGAACCGAGTAAAACTCGGTGGTGTTACTCGGCAAAAGTGTCACTCGGCGCATCTCTACCATTTTTCTAAATATGATACAATGATGTGTCATTGTAATCCTCAAAGTTGATAATTGCTTGTGTTCGACTGTTCTGCAGTAGTACAACTTCGTATGTTATCACAGCACCTATAGCCTAAAATAAATAATTTATCTTTAGTTTACATTTAGTTTTAACAGTTTACAATACAAAGCCTAGAAATAAATAAAAAATATACATGTATTGCCTATATCCAGCCAGATCTATTATCTATATTCTACGCCATAAATCTACATCAATATTTAACCGTTTAAAACATGTATGTTAGTGAAGGGATAAGCTAACTAAATCTATTTTTCAGCTTAAACAGTTAAACTAATCAAAAGTCACCACAACTGACAGAACAAAACCACAGATAAAAAAGCAATGAAAAAGATTTGCGTTTCGGTGTGAGTCTATAGATTTCTTATTTTCTTAGCAGCTTATTAAGTTATAATATGGCTGTGGTATTTCACCTGTCACCAAGTGCACTCTATACTTGTCTGGCCTCATCTATCATTAAAAAGACCTATGTCAAATCTATACCCATAACGCCATCTGTTTCGTCGTAGTCGAATTTTTCTCCATACCAACTAGCTTTACTAATACTAGCAGTTTAAACTAGAAAAAATAATTTAACTTACACTCAAAATCATCGCTTTTGTTACGGAAAAGCAAATACCGTTCAATGCGGGCTCAATGTATCGTATTTGTCGGATGAATCTCTGCACCTGAACGGATTAAAACATGCTTTTATTTAATACACCTATGGATAGTAGCTAGTCCTGAGAATATTGCCTTTTTAATAATACATTGAGATTTACTAAGTACTTAACTGATATATATACTAATATTTTAAACTGAAGAGTTTGTTTGTTCGAACGCGCTAATCTAGGGAACTGCTAGTTCAAATTGTAAAGTTCTATTTGGGTTGGGTTTAGCATTTGAAGAGGAAGGCTTTAGGCTATAACATAACGCTGCGACCAATAAGAGCGAAGAAATAGAGAGAAATTTGAGAAAACAAATCATGCCCAACATAATTATTTCACTCGGACGAAGTTGCGGGCACAGCTAGTTCGAAATATACAGGTTAATAAATTACTAACTTCAAGAGTGTACTCTTCTGTGGCGACACGACGCAAAGCTCGTAATGGTTTCATGGCTTCGGTGTGGACACTTACAGCAGCTAACGAGGTGATCGTGGAACGCATAAGCAGAAAGAAAAAGGAAAACACGTAGTACGCTGTATATTCAGCACTATCGACAGATCTAAAACAGAGTGGCTTAGCTTAAAAGCCTAAACAAGTAGTTTGCTTACGTTAATATATTTAAAGTTACTTACGAAATGACATCTTCTTGTGGGCAACCTTCGCGTTGAGAGTATAGGCGACTGAAAGAAATTATCAGTATGTTAAAGCATGATCCCAGTCTATAAATATCAAAATAAACTTGTAATCTATGCAATGTCATCACGTGCAATATTAAAATATTTAAGTTTTCAAATGTTAAACTGTTCATTCATCCGCAATGATTTCTTAAACTACAAAGCATAAGACATTGCATTAACCATAATTCTCAAGTGTTAAGGATGAAATTACATTCCGCGAAACGCGTGCATTTATCAATAGGTTGAAATATGTCGGCGACTGGATGAGCAAGGAACGCTATGTATGTCGGTTCCATGCCCCGCCTGTGTCGTCAACTTTTTTCGAACGACAATAATTTTTAATTTAAAATAATTAAACCTCTTTCTAACTTACATGAATTGTTATACAACTTATTATATTAGTTTATTTTATAACATTTAGTAACTTCTTTATCTTAAGATACTGACCAATTATTCGCGGTGTTATTGGGTCGGTACCCGCAATTGGTTACTTACTTAGTAGCGTAGAATAGTTGCAAACAAAGATAAAATATATTAGTGAAGAAAGACAACAGAATCAACAAAGATATATGCGAATTTATGTCATTCAACATTTGCGTCAGGTAAGAATAATGTACACGTAATTCAGGCCAGTTCACAGACTTCTGGAAAGAAAAATCCTTTTAAGCAAGTGACAAAAACATTACATGTAATAAGAAAAATATTTTCTCACCCTCGCGACTTGCATTGATATATTCTTATTAATATCTTTGAAGTAATGGTGTAAGTACATGCTAATACATATTATAAAAACATCGACGAATGTCCAGATAAACGTTGCTTGTACGTTGAAAATCTAAAAAAAATATTATCTTGATACAATAATTATAATTTAATTATCACTTTAAACCATTTTGCTATAGAGCTCACATAAATGTGTTCACCCCATACCCCACGGGACGAAACGGGATTTCGCGTATTAATTCATTAGATCGTCGATCTATTTTTAAATATAATAAAACTGTTGGATAGGTTAGTAACATTGATTAAGGTATGTTAGTTTGTGTTTGTCACTACAATTAAAGAAATAAAATAAGAATCGTTAAAAACTTTTAAGTTAAACAGTTTTATTTTTTCTGCACTGAAAACTAAAAAAAAAGTTAAATTTTGACATAATCATCGTGTTTTACTAGTGTAGTACCCTTTCATTTGATACCCATGTTGAGGGGGTTAAGGAAAAATACGTAATCCGCCATTTTGTACCGTCGGCCATCTTGGATTTATAATGTATTACATTGTATTGTCATCTAAATTAAATGTGTGTACCAAATTTGAGATCAATCTGACAACGGGAAGGTGTTTAAATTTCTAATTTTGACATAAATAAATTCTGTATGGGTCGAGCTAAATAAAACCGTTTAATAATAAAACGAATGAAACATAAACATATATAAAACAGGAAGCATGAACGTCATGCCATTGTTTTAACAGTACAGTGTATTTGTGTAAGAGAAGAGGGTTCAAATCTCAGCAAAGCGTAACTGCACGGGTAAGTCACTTTTAACGATTTCGCCAAATACCAACTATGACGGAACAGATGGCGTAGCAGTTTTTATTATGATATTATCGTTTGTGTAATTTATAATTTTTCTGAAACATGTTGGATTTCGTTTGGAAATCTGGATATTAAATGGATGGTATGAATATCGAAATTTCCTTCCGGACCAATCCGTGAAGTTGATTTCCGAATATCCAAAGCCGAAACAGGTCAATGACGCATCTTGTTTAAGTGCTATAGGCTGGACTATTTCATCTACCATCAAGTAAACCTCATGCTTGTCTATCCCTCTCTATCATAAAAAATACCCTCCATCTTCAGCCCCCCCGTGACCACGTCGTTTCAATCGGTTAGCAATACGGATTACTGTCGATGCTTGTCCTAGCTCCGCCCAAATACTTCATTACCTTGTATACAAACGCCTTCCACAAATCCACTTGGACGTAGCGAAAAAGATGTGAGGTGTAAAAGCGAACATATAGAAGCACGATCTCCAAACTCAGTGTTGTTTCGTTCTTGCAATTCATTAGAAATGTTAGTTTATAGTTCACGGCCAGGACATGTTCAACTGAAAACATTAACTGTCATCTTGAAATCTATTGTCTTAAAAATCGCGCTACCTTTAACTTCATGACCTCTTGACCTTGATGTCTTCGAAACACCTTTTTTGAACGGTTCTTGCTGAAATTCTCATATTTATATTATCTCTATTTGTAACATTTATTTTATAAATATACTAGTATTTACTCTCTACAGTCATAAGGAACTTTTTTGGTTGTAAAACTTCCTTTAGCTTAAATTCTACACGGCTGCAAAGTTTTTCAATTATTATAAAAAAGTTATTTATATAAATCACTTTTAACGGTAAAAACTCGTCATGTATTAAAATGCGTTATATATTAGTCAACTTATTTTAAAATACGTCCCGACCTTTCGGTAGCTTTGCAGTAGCCGTGGTCACGGCTCCAGTCCATCGGTCCGTCTTCAGTTTTTATTAGTTACTTACCAATCGCTAAACCTGTGATGGTATAAGAGACAGCAACAAATTTTAAAACGTCACACTTAGTCGTCCTCATTGGACGTAGTAGTCGTTCATAATTGGCCATTTTCTTGACTAATCCAGGCCATTTTCGTGCGAGATGGAAAAAACATAAAATGGTACACAAACTTGTGAAGTAGAAGAGAAATTTCGCTGAAAAAGAATATCGAGAGACAATTCAATTCTTAACTGACAATTAATAAATTATTAAAAAAATGTAAAACATTGCTCTCATTAATTTTTTTATGATAAGGGTAGACAAAAAGGTGCAATGCCCATGCCACAAAGCGTTTAGGCAAAATGCGCTGTCGACCTATTTTGGTTTCGGATATTCGGAAATCCACAGATAAACACCGAAACGCGATTCAACTTTTTAGCTTTTCTACTTTGGGCGGTGGTTCGTAATCCAGACGTAATTTCGATACTTCTACCACTTATTCAATATCTACATTTCCAGTCGAGGTGGAGGAACACCTTACAGAAAAATTGTAATTGATTAGAAACATGTTGGAATCGAACCAACGGCCCCTTGATTATTATTAATACATCGCTAACATACCAATGAGACCATCTTTATTTTGTTTTCAATTAGTTATGTAAATACTTACTGAAGTGACTGATTTTAAAATTCCAAGTAAAATGATAAAAACATAAGCAAGTTATGATTACGAAACAAAAACATATAACCACGTTTAATAAATTATACATTGATCTTGTATTGTATCTGAAAAAAAAAAACTTAGTTATTCGGTTGAGCCTTTGCCAAGATGATGGAGAAGAGATACGTCAAAAAGAAAAACTTAAATACATTTTTGATATTTACAACATTATTAGTTCTTAACGGATTTGATATTCAGAAGTGTTTAAAAATCTAAAATAAATTCGACTCGAGCAGGACTTGAACGGTCGACTTGAGTCGATTGACTCGGTAGCTCAATTGTTAGAGCAACAGCACGGAACGCTGACGATGCGGGTTCAAATCCTGTCCGAGTCGAAAATTTTTCAATTTATTTTGGATTTTTAAGTTATAATATAGTGCCTTCATGTGCAATAACATGTAAAAAATAATAAACTTTTCAAATTTATAAGTGTACCTAATTACCTACAAGATTAATGATTCTACCTTGATTCTAACTTTGATATTACATGCAGAGCCTGACAATTACTTCCACTACCACTAAGCTTTACCGTAGTCAAACTACATATACTGTCTATAAATTGAGAGTAGTACACATTTAAATAAAACACTTTAACGGTTTAAAACGCGATATATTAGTCAAACTGATTTGAAAAGCATCCGAAACGTCGGGCCGAAGTTAAAAATCACTTTCAAATAAGTTTAGCTAATATATCGCGTATTAAACCGTTAAAGTGTTTTATTCAAACTACAAATTTTAAAACTTCACAATGGTGAATCCTACATCTATCACTGCAGACACATAAAAAGCTACTGAAACATTACCGCAATCCATCAATAGAAGTCTTGTCTAGCCCAGACACTGCAAAAAGCCCCAATGACCGTGGAAGCCGCATAGTATATCTTAGGCACGAATGAAATTCACACTCCATTGTCGAAAAATAAAGCTTTATTAAAATCTAGATTTAAAAAAACTACGACACGCGCGGGATTTGAACTGGCGACGTGTCTTTAATATTTTCGATCTCGATTTTAAATTTTTATAATGGCATCACGTGTAACCTCTCTTATAGTAGTAAGTTTGTATAAGTGAATCCTTTGCGATCATTATTTCGTTTTTTTAATATTTTGATTGACATATTATATATTCGTAAGGCAAACAATTAATAGAAAATGTTGATTGATGCTTAATCACGACGGTACACAATTATGTTGAGTGAATGTATTTGTTATCGTTAACGATAACATCGGTAAAAGTTAAATCATTCAAAGGTAGAATTAAATAGATAAATTCGTTAATGGAAGGCGAAATATCCCAAGCCCATTAAGTTTAATAATTATGTGTTATAAACCTATTTTAGCTTTTGATTTTCGGAAATCCACAGATTGAAGCCGAAACGCTATTACACTTCACGGCTAATACTTTTAAAACGTGAAATATATTAGTTAATTCACTTAAACTACAGTCTGACGTTTCAGATGCTTTGCCGTGGTCACAAGCCCTCTTCGTAATCGTATTTAAAACAAATTAACCAATAAGTAAATGTGTTATTTCCGCGTTTTAAACCTTGTACTAGTTTGTTGTTTTAGAAAAATTATGATTTAACTATAAGAAACAGGCCCGTTAGTCGTTAGTCATACATTGCAACCAATTTCAGTCCTACACTACACCGCACCCCAAAATGATTTCTGTGGCGCAAAGCAATGAGCCAATTTCAGATACCATTAACGAAATGAGTCTTGAACGTGTTTGTCATTTAGATCTAGATTCATTAAAACTTATCCACTTAAATTGAGATTAGTTAATATACCTACTGACAGGTCAAACTTATATTATTTTAGGCTAATATATAGTGAATCATAAACTCAAAACATTTATTGACTCAAATTATTTAATAATTACAAAGAAGGGTGTTTGTAAAATTGGGAAAGCACTAGGCCCCGGTGTTCAGTGCCTTCCCAGGGAATAAAGAGTGAATTAACTACGGGACTATAAATCCTATTTAAGTAGAAGTAAAAAATATATATATTAACTATAAACCGAATAACATAATTTGTATGTGTATAATGGTATGTGTGTTGTAAAACTAAGTAAAGCAAAAATTTATTTTTAAATTTTGGAAAAAATATAGAATTTCTCACTAAAAATAAAGTAAAAAAAAAAACATAATAATGAACTAAATATTGACGTTCTCCGAAGATTTTTCGAGTTGTCGAGGACTGCGTTAAACACGAGATGTCCTAATTTTAATTTCATGGAAACATCAATTTCATTTGGCCAAAGTATAGGAGCCTGATCAATTAATAAAAATGAAAAGTTTACAAATTAACTAGCTGTAACCGCGGATTTTTTTTTATCTTTTTTTTTTATATATTGAATGTTTCATTAAGCGTTAAAAATGTGAAGCGATAAAAATTTTCATGAAAAATTTCATACATTTTACTTTTGTGTATTCTATCTGCATACAATTTGCATTTGAGCAAATAAGGTATTCGCAATTGATTAATCCTCAAAATGTTTTATTCACGAAGGAAATTATTAAATCGACGTTGATCAAGAACAAGTTGGAGAGCAAAGTAGATTAAAAATCTTTACAGTTTTTCATTGATATCTGGAGATATTTTAATTAGTTTTTCTTAGGTATTTTCGTATTGTCATATATAGTTTATCCTGTTGCATTTATGGGTAATAATCAACGGGTCGTGGGTTCGTTTTCTGTTTCTTATAATCAATTTATATTAACATAAACTTTTAGGCCTCTGGAAAACAAATAATTCCTACCACCGTGAAATATGTGGTACGAATATTGGAATTCATCCAAATCATCAAAAATAATCCTCATATGGAAAAGGCTGGGATATATTTCAAGACAAGCTCCATGCTCGTTTATCCTCGGTCAAAAAATAGTAGTCTTAATCTAATCGCAATTAAATCCTAAGACAAATCCAACATTTTTAGGGTTCCGTATACAAAAGGTAAAAAGGATTCCTATGAATTAATTATGCTAACTGTCTGTCAACAGACATTCGTAATAACGGCTATAATATCTAAAGAGTATATATGATATTTCAACAGAGTGTATTAAATACTGTCTGTAGTGAACTCGATTAGTACACATACAAATAAAACACTTTAACGGTTTAAAACGCGATATATATTAGTTAAACTTTTTTGAAAATTATTTTAACTACTACTATATCTCCCCGTGACCACGGCTGCTGCAAATCATCTAAAACGTCAAGCCGAAGTTAAAAAATTTCAAATAAGTTTTAGTAATATATATCGTGTTTTAAACCGTAGAAGTGCTTTATTTAAAGGAGTGTATTTGTATTGCAGGTATAACATCAAATTCCGACGTACACTTGGCCGGTTCGTTGTCTTGTTTTATGCTTTTATTCTTAAGTGATGTCGTTAAGTAAGCAAGACAAAAACATTAGTCTCTTGTTACGAATAAAGTACATTTTATAAGCTCCAACAAATTGTGATAAGGTATAAAATAAAACTACAAACAAAAATGCTTAGTTATATTACATACACTTCGGTCATGAACTGTCGCATCGCAAGTATTAAACTATATCATTCACCATAAACTTCGTCTACAAGATAAGGTGTTTATTGTTATATCTTTAAGATTTGAAATTGACGATCACAATAACATAATAACTATATAAATAGATAATTTGGGTATAACTCTCGATTGTAAACTTCAGTGGGGACCACACATTAAAAATCTTTCGAATAAACTAAGCTCTGCAGCCTTTGCTGTAAAGAAGATACGACAGCTTACTGATGAAAATACAGCCAAGCTTGTCTACTTCAGTTACTTCCATAGTGTAATGTCTTATGGTATCCTTTTGTGGGGCAACGCAGCCGATATTCAAACCATATTTGTTTTGCAGAAACAGGCTATTCGATCGATTTGTGGTCTTTCCCCACGAGAGTCTGTTCGAAATAAGTTTAAAGCATTGAATATCCTAACGTTGGCAAGTCAATATATCTATGAAAATGTTTTATATGTGAGGAAAAACGTAGATACTTTTAAAACAAACGGCAGCTTTCATCAGTACAATACGCGTAATAAGGACAAAATAAGTGTACCAAACAAAAGGCTCCATAAAAGTAGTAGTTCTTTTCAAGGTAACTGCATACGATACTTTAATAAAATCCCCAGCGAAGTGCAAACACTCTCAATAAATAGGTTTAAATCGTATGTAAAACAAAAATTGCTTGAAAAGGGTTATTATCATGTTAATCAATATTTAAATGATAAAAATGCTTGGGGTGTGGAGGAACCCGCTCTTACAAGGAAAAATATGTTGTGTACTAAAAGTAAATCAAGAATGTAAAATGAAACTTGGCGATAAAAGGAGTGACGGCGAGTTTATTGCCAGTTCTTCTCGTACGTTCTACGCCCTTGATTTGAGAACTGGTAGTAAATGTAAAGTTAGATTCTATAATTATTTTGTGACGTTCATAAGTGTACATAGTTACCTACATGAATAAATGATTTTTGACTTTGACTTTGACTTTGACTAATATCACGTATTCATCTAAATATAATGATGATGATATCTTTTTATTTTATCATTTAGTACAATACTGAATTGAAATAACAATATGATTAATTTAATATAAAAAAATATTTCATTAAAATTTAAAAAGGGCGTCAGCATAAGTTGCAGCACAGTTATACTTGTGGCTGATTTTCAGCAAAATGAAAACCTTGATGAAAACCAGTGTTGTAACAGGTTACTAAAGTAAGAAAAGTATTTAACAATTATTTTAATAAGTGGTAAAATGCTCAGAGGCAAGGTGCTTAGGTAGTGCAATAAAAAAAAGAATTCAAATAAAACACTTTAAACAGTTTAAAATGTGAAATATATTAGTCAACCTAATTTTAATTTATTAATACGGCCCGACAGGACGTATCACAGTAGCTGCTGCAAATCCGAATTTTCATTTAAAGCAAGTTATTTATATTGCGCTTTAATAACGGTTTAAAATGTTTTATGTGCTACAAATAGTACTGAATGATTGAAATTACAACTTATCAATAAATTCTGAGAATAGCGATATCATTTTTGAAAAATCACATTTGATCGGAAGTCTTCTCACAATCATAGCTACGTTTTTTGTTTGTCATACTGTAGAAGTATCAGTTCGTACTTCACTATAGCGCCAGCCACCTAAAATATAAAATAATCCTTCATCGGAAACCCACAAAAATTGATAATTTTCCTCGTTTTTTTTCCACATTTCTCGTTGTTTCATCGCTCATATTAGTCCCAGTGGGATGTTTTGTAGCCTATAGCCTTCCTCGCTCAATGCTCTAACCAATAAATATTTTGTAAATTCCTGAGATTAACGTGTTCAAACAAACAAACTCTTCAGCTTTATATATTAGTATAGATATAGAGTTCTACTCGACTCTTGAGCTCCCGAAGGCCAAAGAAACCCTTCACTTCTTGAATTACAAACCTCTAAAAGTTTTTGACGAGATAAGTAGAACAACCCCATTCCACTTAACCAGATCTTCTCATGTTCTATTTGGTATTTCAATCGCTTTATCTAAAAAGGAATTTAGTAATTTCGTCATTAATATATATATATAAAGTATTTAAATTAAACATTCACATTAAAACGCGAAATGTATTAAGTTTTTTACAACAAGCTGTGCCTGCAACTTCGTCCACGTGGAATAGTAACTTTGGGTAGAATTTAATTATTGAGGCTGTTTATTTATTTATTTTATAAATTTAATAAGACACAATATTGTATTTACACAAATACAATATAGTGTATTTTTATATGCTTATTTGAATTTTATAGTGATTTTCGCATTTATGATATCAGTAAGTTCTATAAAAAATAATCACACACAACTTTTCATCCCTTATTCAACCCGTTATTACCTTTTTTCGTACAGCAAAAGGTTTTACGATGCATGTCATCAAATAAGTCGCAATTAAGGCAGCCAATCTGTGTTATAAGTGCTACTTTGCCGCAACACTCCCACTCCCACTCCCATTCTCACTAATACACTCACTCCCACTCTCACTCCCTTTCCCAAAAAGTTAAAGAACAAAATTTCATTGTTCTAGCTTTAAAAATTACGAATTCTCATACAAACTTTCATCCCCCTTTTCATCCTTAACATCCCTTTTACGGCAATAAGAAACCTATGCTCTAGAATATCTATGTACCAAATTTCATTTAACTCAGTTCAGTACTTTTGACGTGAAAGCCGGACAGACAGAGTTACTTTCGCATTTGTAATATTAGTAGTGATAGTGAAGTAGTGATTTCTTTTTAACTACGGCCCGCCATTTTTGATGCTTTGCAGCTACATGCTCAGCAGGTCACATGGCGTCATTTCGCGTTTTAAACCATTAAAAAGTGTTTTATATGAATGTGGACTGATTGCATAAACTACAGACAATATTTAACTTAATAATAATAAAACTTAAAAATTATTATTTTTAACACAATGACATACATATATGAATTCAAAACTTTAGCTTTAAGGTCGAAATTACATTGGCAAAATGTGCATCAGTCAATGGGTTGAAGAAATGCAACGATGACGTGTAGGACACTGTAGCATGTATAGCATGCACTGTGGATATCGGTTAAAGTCCCGTTTGATTATTTTTTTACTCTAAATATTTAATTGTATATATGGTATATTTACTTCAATGTTATATCCTGCGCTTGTACACATGTTTAAGATAGGTATGGCCCGTTGGGAATGCATCCGGATGTCACTAGCCGCTAGAAGAACAGCGCATGCGCGGAACAGCAGCCACGCCAGAGAGTAGAAATAGTAGACTCGGTTTATGACTGTACCATCTTCTTTGATAAAACTGATTAAGTACAAAATGTGATTTAATTACAGTTAGTGTAAAGACGGTGAAATATTATTTCGCAGAATAACGGCTTTCAGAGAATTTCAGTATGCTGAAACTATGAAAAAAGACTTATGCTCTAGCGTAAAAGACAAGATGATAGAGTTCCGTTGAGTGTAATCGCGTTTCGGCTTCAGTCTGTGTATATCCAAATATCCAAACTAAAAATAGGACAACAGCGCATGTAGAAAAGTTGTTTATCTAGGGTATTTAACCTTCCATTAAGCGAGTCCCATGTTTGTCTTTTCTCCATCATTAAAAAAAATATTTTTCACAAACCTCAAATTTTTGATCGTTATAAAAATATAATTGACGAAAAGAGGAACTTACCCTATACCTAAAAACAGTTGTAAACAGATAAAATAGAAATTGTTCAAATTCGATAACAGTATTAATCCACCGATGCTCTGATCCACCTTTCTGACAAGATTGGCCTGATGTGCGTAGGATTCTCGTAGTTTCCTCCATGTGTTTATTCTGGAGACCAAAGTTCGTTCCAACTGAAAAATAAACTCGATATGATTATATTCATCACTCACAAACTCCATAGTAAATTTCCAAAGTTGAACATCTTTAATTCTGGGTCTAAGCTCCAAAACCTTTAATAAGGGAGACACTATCTGTTGATGTATACTATAGTTAAATTGACAGTGAGGTCTGGCCATTACATCGTAGCATACCATACCATAAAAGGAATGTATTAAGCAAAGTAAGAATCAAAATTAAAATATTGTGTATATTATAACATATGTCCTCTACGAAAAATAACCGGAAACGTGTCAACACCGGCAAAATATTCTCTTCGACTATTTTGAACTGTACGTGACATTAACAAGGATAAAGCTAGCACTTTTAAATAAAACACTTTAACGGTTTAGAACGCGATATATTAGTTAAACTTATTTGAAAATGATTTTTAACTACGGCCCGACGTTTCGGATGCTTTGCAGCAGTCGTGGTCACGGGGAGACTAGCACTTTTAACAAAATCGGTTCATTTAAAACACTTCTCACTCCCACCGTGACCACAAACGCAAAGCTTCTGAAACATCAGGTGTTGGACTTCGTATGAAAAAGCTAGGTATCGAAATTCTATCCGGGTCACGCAACACTGTCCACAGATGAAAACGTCGGGAGGTTTAATATATTTTTTTGCAAATACAGTGTAAACTCCATGTAACGTCACTCTATTTAACGACAAACTCTCTTAAGCGTCGAAATTAATTGGCTTTGGTTGGTTTAGCTTGTTTTTCATACAATGTTTCTTCTCTCCATTTAACGACAACTCTCTATAACGCCATAAAATGCACAGTCCCTTCAGTGTCGCTATATAGAGTTTACACTGTATTAAAATTCTAAGGTCGACAGCGCGTATTAATTAGAGGTTGTATGTTACATGTATTAAGCCAACCCCATGCAAATAAAAATAAGGTTTTTTTTATTATTGCTATAACAATATTATTCATCTTACTTTACAATAAGCCTTCATTCTTCTCTCGAAGACGACGACGCGACGGACGAAGGCGTTTAATCTGTGGTACTTGGAGGCGAGGCCCATGCTAATTAAAATTATAATCAGGTCTTGGAAATTCCACAGCGCTGTCGCCAGCTTACTCAGAATGAATATCGGTATTGCCAGCCACAAGGAATATTCTCCTGGAAATTGACAAAAATAATGTCTTTAGTTTACACGAGTAACACTTAAATAAAGCGAATTTTAGCAATTTAAATTGGTGAATCATCCGAATTTTAAATAATTATTTACTAGTGTTTTGACTTAAACTTATTAGTCTTTTATTTTATGGTTTAGAAGGCTTTGATGGTATATAAAAATGTACACTACAATTACTTGTTTATAACACGATATACAACATGAAATATTCGGTTTTTTATTTGAATCCGTTAAAAGTGTTTTATTTAAATTTTACAATGTGTTATCAACACATTTAGCTGTGATTACATAATGGTTATTGGAATGTTTAGCAAACGAATTTTAATTTTAATTAGTTTTAATATAACTTGGATATATTTGTGTTTAACGTTAAAAATATCAAACTCGACTTAATTTAAGTTTACATCTGCAATTGCTTAACATTATTAATAAATACATTTGCAATAATACACTAATTCTATACACTTAAATAAAAGAAAAAAAATACACAATATAAGTTTTTTTTATACTTGTTTATTTTAAATAGATCTCTAGTCAATACAATATTATGTTATTAATTCAAGGCTTCAAGTAGAGAAATAAACTTACGTTTTTCTAGTAGAAAGCCATGTGAACTGAGAATGTACCTCTCAAAGTATTCTCTGAAAGGACAGTCTAGTCCTGTAGCTGACATCATGCTTAATATGTGCTCCACTGTAAAATGGATACAGTTTTATGAAAATACTCATGTTTTTAAAGCTAAGTGTGTACATTTCACTTGTTAGAATCTCTTAAGCGAGTTTTTTTAGTTTATGACGTCATTATTTGTTAAAAATGATGTAGTAAATTTCTTAACAGTAATCTTTATTTCATTTTTTCATTCTTGCATTCCTGGGTATCGAACCCCAAAAATATCAGCCACGCAAAGTTAATACCGGCAAAATTAACAACACTAACAAGGATGGCTCACTTGATTGTAAATAAAAATACCATAGCTATATAACATATTAACAAGTATGTGTAGTCGACCTATTGTAATATTCGGAGATATTCACAGACTGGAACCGAAACGCGTCTATGATTAATTTGGATTTAATAGACCACCCATTTAATATCCAGATTTCTGGACAAAGTCCAACGTGCTTCAGAAAAATTATAAAGTTATATAACCTCAATTATATGTACACATATATACTCAAACATATTATATATAGAGGAGAAAACTAACCAAGAGCACACACAACGACATAACCAGTAACAAATAGCGTTCTCCGTCTAATCTTCTTGTCTGGCGGTAGTACGAGACCGCTTTTAGTCTCCATTTGAAGCCAATACTCGGACAAATCCTTCCACTTGTTCACTATCCTCCAAGTTATCAGCATAGATAACAATGCATTGCCGTAAAATATAGAACCGGATAGGCGAGCTGTTATACTACCTAAATAGAATAATTTAATAATAAAAGCTTTTATTATCAAACTTAAAAACTGTTTAAAAACACTTTACGTAAATAACGCATTTTTTTCACGTGCTGAAAGGTATTGCATATAATTCGCAACGCGCGTCGTAGTTATCGTATACGTATCAAACTGCTTAAATTGTTTAGTTTTAATATGTAAATAAAACACTTAAACGGTTTAAAACGCGATATATATTAATTAAACTTATTTGAAATTTCAGACAGTCTCCCCGTGACCACGGCTGCTGCAAAGCATCCGAAACGCAGGGTCGTAATTAAAATAATTTACAAATAAGTTTAACTAATATATATCGCGTTTTAAACCGTTATGGTATTTAATTTAAATGTCTATTACTCACGAAAATTTCAGGCAGTATTTATTTAATATTTACAATTCACTTAAACTAGAGACCGTACTTACAAGTATCACAGGCCTTCTTTATACACTTAGCTAACAGGTATTCATCAAAAAGGTGGTTTAAAAGATGAAGAAAGAAAGGTTATTGAATCAAACAAAGTCTGCGTGTGTATAATATTCGTAGATATTTTAAAAATACACACTAGACGTGTTACATTGCTTAAATTATGCTTAAGTGGATCCCGAGACAAAGTTTTCAATAGCAATTAAATTAAATTCATAAAAATTGAAGAGTCGACTAAAATAATAGAAGTTCGCTCGTTCGAGAACACGTTTCAACGCCAAATTGTTCTAAGTATTAAAAAGATCGAGAAGCTCGGTTTGAACGAAGGAATTCTATTAGGAGAATCATTGTTTTGCAAACCTTGGGAAATATTCTCTTAATTTCGTCAGAGTTTTATAACTGAACTTAACTGGATTCGGCAAATTGAAGACATTATGGAGGATATTACGTTTCCCCGTTTTAATCATTATTCCGTTTTATCATAAATTTACTAAATGGAGGCTGGGGAGATATTTATGAAATATAAAAAAGAAAGAAGGAAAGAAGAAACTTTTTTAATCGTTCTAAAACATTAAAATTATTTAACTACATCTCCATACATAATATGGATATTCAATATTTAAAATATACATTGTTTCTTTGAATAAAACACGTTTAACTGTTTAAAACGCGAAATATTTTACTTACGTTAATTTATTCTTGCAAAGAGGTAAATCTAATTTATAAGAATTCACTATACTCAAAGTAAAGACAAGCATATATGTAACTGACAATATGGCAGAAGATAATATTTTAGGATTAACGAACCCAAATTCCTCCGTAGGGGGAAATGGTGTTGTCTCTATCGGTGTCCTCAATATAAACATTAATTTATGTCTATCTAAAGGGTCCCTTTAATTTTGTCACACTCATTCTAATACCGAAATAATATAGGAAATTTAAACCGTTACGAAAGGGTTATCTACAATAAGCAAGTTGTTGGCCCCTACGTAACGCAGTTTTGGTGTTCAAATAGCCTTATGAATACAAAAGTTTGTTCTTCTCTCATATCCCCTTTATTCCGCTTGAAAAAGGGAAACGGTTAAGATGTATCCGAACTTGTGTTTACCTTCTCATTAAATAAAAGGTTATATGCGTTATATACAAACTTCTAATACGATACGAAATATATTTTATTATAATTGTTAGTTTTCTGTTTTAACAAAACACAGCTTTTTTTGCTAAGACCCATCACGCTGCACTACTGGGGGTTAGTCACCACTGCCATTAATTTAAATAGTGTATACGGTTTACACGAGTAGTATACATATAAATAAAACACTTTCAACGGTTTAAAACGTGAAATGTAGTAGTTAAACTTATTTACAAATTATTTTAACTGCCGATGTTTCGGATGCTATGCAGCAGCCATGGTCATGTGTGGATGGAGGATGAAGGATGTCAATAATGTCAAAGTGAAAACTGCTTCACTAGCGCCCTCTATTCCGTTGTGATAACGACTCCTGCAGAGCATCCGAAACGTCGGGCCGTAGTTAAAATAATTTTAAAACAAGTTTAACTCATACATTTTGCGTTTTGAACCATAAGAGTGTTTTATTTAAACGCCACTAATTTATTTCGTGAACCGTGACTTCCTTAACTCCATAACTCCAAACTGAATATGATGATTTCTTAAAAACTCTAAACTCTGAATTAACATTTCGCACGACCCGAGAATCGAATTCATGATCTACAGTCCACTTTACTACCCACTTGTCTAACTATTTATTAATTATTAGTTATTAATTACTAAGAACATTATAAAATTGTAAGGTGTACCTTTTGGATTAAGATTCCAACCGTTGAGTGTGCGTATGAGTTTCCAAATTGAGAAAAATTCAAGAGTTACCAACATTGTGAGCAACACAAGAGCACCGACTAAGGCCGCTTTCCCGCCATAAGTTGGTATCCCAAAGTATTTAGCCGCTACGAAAACTCTCGTCATTGTAGGCAAGAAGTTCTGCAAAGACAAGTTTTTTTTATAAAGAAGAACAGACAAGCATGAAGTTTACATGATGAAAGGCAATTTTTTTAGTTACATACGTATTTAATATGCGCTATTGACTGAGATTACAAAAGAAACGCGATTTACGGTTTTTCATTGAACGAAACTTCTTAATACCTCTAGTCACGTGTGAATTTTAAGTTGAGAAGATGTTAACCCGATGGGATTCGAACCTGTAACGGTGACCGAATTGAAACAACGCGCTTCTCAATTAGTTTTTGAGACAATATAATTAATATAATAAGGTATAAATATAATCTATGAGGTTTGTCTACCATATATTCTTAACTAGTAAATCTCTCCTAACACACTATTGTTTTTGGTCCTATCAGTTTGAATAAGTTTAAAGTTTAATAAAAAATATTTCATTAATAAAACTGATATTGGTTTAGTTTTGAAATACAATTTTAAACTTACGTCCCATTTGCGTTCCTTCGGGTGCATTTTCACGTTTATCATACGCGTGTTGCTCGTGCAATGTCGGGTCGTATTACAAAGATAAACAAACCACTCCACTCCTATGTTTATTAAACTTATCATAACGTGTATTGATTTCCAACATTTAAATTCGTGACAGTAAGTGTAAACAAGAGAAAATTGTTTTGTTGACAAGTCATAAAGACAATATGAAAGTTTAGTCAATTATGTTGCCATATACCTTAGATTGCTACAAGATAATGTTGGTAGTGTCATGAATTAATGGTGTTTGATGTTTTCATAAGTACACAGAACCAAGTAAAGAATTGTTTTTAGAACTCATTAAACATTTAGTCGATTTAGATTGTGAACGATTTTGATAAATGGCAATTGGCCTTCCTTTATAAAACGGTTTAAAACGAGATATTTGTGACTTATATTTAAACTTTAATATTTCAAGATTTACACAGTTACAAAGTGTTTCATTTCAACAGGGATAGTTTTAGAATTCAATACGAATAATGATGAATAATTTTCCCAATTGTTTTCACATTTATCGCTGTATCTTTGCTTTGTATTAGTCACAGCGATATGTTTTACTTTCTCAATGAATACTCTAACCAACACAAGTATATATTTTTTTATTCAAACCAATAGTTCTTAAGATTAACGCGATCAAACAAACAAACTCTTCAGCTTTATATATTAGTATAGATTTACTACTCATGTAAACTTCAATATATACGGGAATTGGCGTTAAAAGTTTCTACTTATATTTAGTTCAATTTAACTTACATATATCGAGTTTTAAACAGTTAAAAGTGTTTCATATTGATTGTCACTCTTTAAGCTACAAGTTTTTACTCTTTTGTTAATCTTAACATAAAACCAAGTACTATTGATCATGAATAGAGTTCATTTTATTACTTAAGAACAATTTCCTCTTTCTAAGGGTTCTGCTCTCAAGGAAGTGCGTATCTGATGAAAAGCTATTGAAAGTATACTTCACTTGGGAGAAAACTCTTTAATAAAATGAAGAAATAGCAAAAAAGAAAATGGTAAAATCGGTTCGAAACGCGACATATTAGTTAAATTTATTTGAAAATGATTTTGAACTTCGACCCGACGTTTCGGATGCTTTGTAACAACCGCGTTTTAAACCGTTAAAGTGTCAAAATAGGTCGACAACACACCTTGATTAGATGTTATATGGCTGGGGTATTTTACCTCCCATCAAGTGAATCACACGCTTGTCTGTTCTCCTCTATATTGAAAAAAATCATAGCTTACTAAACCTATCAGATTTAACCAAATAGAATTTCATTATTTAATAACAGGCCGACCTGGCAAACATCCTTGTGCCATAGCAGTATTTCGGTGTAATCTTAAAAAGTAGACGAAGATAACCATTTTCGCCAGGCCAACGCACGCAACGGAAAACCTCAAAGTTTCATTTTATTCCCCGATTTTTCCACATTTTCCACTCTTTCTTCGCTCCTATTGATCACAGCAAATTTTTTTTTTCAATTCGATCCAGTATTTTCTGAGATAAGCGCGTTCAAACAAACTCACTCTCCTTCCAGCTTTATAATATTGGTATAGATAAGGATTATTATTTAAATAATACACTTTAACGGTTTAAAACGCGACGTTCCGGAACGTCGGACCGCAGTTAAAATAATTTTTAAATAAGTTCACTAATATCGCGTTTTAAACAGTTGTTTTATTCAAATACTACTCGCGTATACTACAGACAGCGTTTAATATTATTATTATTCAGTACTATCATCGTGCAAATAAATTAATAAATTAATAAAAAATATAATTAAAGGTTTTAGCGAATGTGAGGAGAGATACACAGTAACAGACCACTTCGTACAACTAATGGCTCTCGCGTGATAGGCCTACAGACGGCGACTTTTTAGGTTCAATATTACGACGTGACGCCTGTACTGCCCAAGGGATAAGCTTTTCAGAGATAAATGTCGTGTCAACCTCGACACGTGAATTGTCACATTATTTCATATGTTTCCCCCCCGCTTGTCATCCTAATACTATTTGTTATTAACGGTTCTAAACGCACAATGTATTTGTTTATTTCTGGATTGAATGGAAAATCCCAAGAACTTTTGCAAAATGGCTGCTAAAAGGGAAATCTGTGACGAACACATGTTAGTGTCTGTTACTGGCAAGCAGTTGCTAAGACCGCGTCTGAGTCAAATAGTTAATCGCTAATAACGAGCGCGTGAGGGCCTGGATTAACATCCCGGCGAAATAATAGTTTATGTTGGTCGGAGAGGGCACTCAACGGAAGTCTGCTCAATTAAAACGATCAGTGAAACGGACACAGCTGTGTGTCCACCCCATGCCTAGGGGAAAATACGGGTCGTAGGTTCGATGCCCACCGGATCCAACGCGTTTTAATAAATTTGTAATTTTTCTAGTCTGTTGGAATGTGGATTTTCGAATATCCAAAGCCAAAATAGGTCGACGATATTCAATGGCTGTGGTATTTTACATATCATCAAGTTAGCCCCGTGCTTGTCTGTCCTTCCTTATTATAAAAAAAGTTGAAATTAGACTACGAAATTCATGGGAAAATTTTTATTTTTATGAATGCATCTATTTTAAGCTTTCCGTCATGCTGGTTCCGTTTTGTGGTTGATCATCACTGCGGTTGTCGTACTGGACTAAAACTAAGACGTAGGTGATGACAGAACTCGCCACCTAAAATAAGTCAAGACAATAATTGTGTAAGGCTTTCACGGCCATCGTTCAGCATATCATTGTCTTTCGGGCTGTTCGGCCGATGTGAAACGTCGAGAACCTCTTCTCGCTCACGTCGGCCGAACAGCCCGAAAGACAATGATATGCCAGGTCAAAAACACATTTATATGTTTAATATTAGCTATAAATACAATACAAAAATCGTTATAAATTAAGTATTTTTTTAAGTTGATAGTATACTATATAATTAATATCAACACTTTAACGCTTTGAAACGAGATGTATATTAGTAAAAGTTATTTGGAAATTATTTTAACCACGGACCGACGTTTTGGATGCCGTAGTTAAAATAATTTCTAACTATATCGCGTTTTGAATCATTAAAATGTTTTATTTCAATGTGGACTACGAACATGAACTAGAGGCAGTATTTAGTATATAACAAACAAGACGCGCGTGGAGTATGACCAGTGGAAGAGAAATATCACAGCTATATAATATATAAAGAGGATACGCAGTTGACCCATTTTGGCTTTCATAAACCCAGTGACTAAAACCGAACCGCGATTATATTCTACAGTTTTCATGATGGGGGCTCATGATCTGGCCGGAAATTTGATATTTATAGCATTTACTTAACATCCAGATTTTTCAAATACAGTCACTTTGAGTATTGTCTGTAGTTTACCCGAGTGGAACACATCTAAATAAAACACTTTAAACTGTTTAAAATATGAAATGTATTAGTTAATTTATTTATAATATTTAAAGTATGGCCCGAAGTTTCGGATGCTTTGCGGCATCCATCATGGGAGAACTGAATTTAATAAGTGTCAATTTAAACCGTTAAAAATTATTTATTTAAAGTCTCTAATATTAAAGTAGAAATCGAACCCACGACCTGTTGTTTATTAATCATAGATTGCAATTTAGTCTTGTGTGGTTGTATATGTATTTCTATGTTTAATGATTGTGAGTTAATAATTAAAACCAATTATTAATTTTTGGCCTAAATTTAACGACAGAACTGAATGTCAAAAATAAAACCAATTCTGTTTGTGCATAACGCGTGATATTTTTCATTCGGAGTGCAAACAGCTGTGGTGCCAGCGAGAATTTTCACACCTGCATGAACGTATTGCTTTTTTTGGACATGTTTGGGTTATATCAGATTTGTTCAACCCTCGCAACAGTATATTTAACAAATATATTTCATTTTTTAGTGACGAATATAGGACTTACTTAAATTAAATGTCTCTATTTTTTTTTTGTTTATTTTTTGATTTCGTTGAAACAGTAGAGATTTGTTGTAGTAATCGTAGATCCACAGGTCGCGAATTCAATTCTGACTAGGTTTAAATTTATTTAAGTAATTTCTCTTGAATCAATTTAAATTTTTAAAACAATTTAGACTACGTCTGGCAAATGTAGGTTTAAAATGGGTAAAAGAATTGAATTTCAAGGTAATCCACAAATGACAAAACTATTAAGTTTCATAGCATTTCAATTTGTGAGTTTTTTAATGTATAAAGTCGAAAATAGGTCGACACGCATCTTGTTTAGTATCTGTATGGCTGGGGTATTTAGGGGTATTTATTTCTTTCCATCTCTGTCATAAAAATAAAGTTTAAAATATTGTAGTTTAAAGTTGAAGTTAAAGTCACTATTTTTTTTATCTATTGTATCGATCATACATGGTATTGCCTATCAATGCGTTAAAAACGAGAGGTTTGAGTCCCGGGAAAGCAATACTTTTTTTGATCAAACGGCCGCAGAGACATGTTCGCCCAAAGCGTGCCCCACAAGGGTGCAATAAGTGTTTTATTACCTGCAACAGCACAGATCTTGTCAAGTTGAAGAAGTCCAATCCACTTAACGCAATGTAATCTTTACTCAGCTGATGTTGCAGCCTTTCCATCTTAAAACATAATTTAAGTTAAAACAAATATGCCTTTTTGATTAACCATGCGTCTTAATTGATTTTTTGAAAATCCTTAAATATTTAACATCGTTCCGGAAAGTTTATTTATGTTATTAGACGACAATCAAATCTTTTATTAATCTAACTACAACCTAAAGTTGTACCCCCCTGACCACTGCTACAAAGCATCTTAAATCGTGTTATAGTTCAAATAAATTAAAGTTATACAAATATATTTTGCGTTTTAAACCGTTAAAAGTGTTATATTTAGACGCGAAACATTGTCAAAATTAAGCATGTTTTTTCATATATATATGAGATATTTCTTTCTTACTGATAATATAATAAACTAAGAAACGTTTTTGGAGAAATATACCTCAATATTGTAAAATTGTCCTTTGCACTCGAACAAATAAGGCAAAGCACGTTTAGAATGTTCGTGAATACCAGCCGCTGCTAACACAACGCAACATGTGCGTGCGCAGATCCAACTGAGGGATACTAAGTAATGCATCTGTTGTATGGCATCTCCAGTAATACCTTGACTGTAAAAAAATATAAAATATATGTACAAAAAGAAAAAAATACGCAAAAAGAACTTAAACTCACACTTAAACCACAGTTGATAAGAACAGCAGGACGGAGTGGAGTGATCTTGGGTTTAACTATGTGTGGAATGAATTGTAAGAACGAGCGTGACTATGTGTGAAAGGGACGGACAGAGATCAAAGATGGCGACTTTAGAGTTTAGACGAAAAGAGCTAAAACGCGCTTGGTGAATGAACGATCTGTGATCTGGAGAATGAACGATAAGTAATCGAGATCCTGTTGTGATATAGACTGTGGTTCGGTGCTCGGTTCGCCAACAAGCTGGTTAGTTAGCTCGCTGTCTTAGGTAGCGCAACACAATATTTTATTTAAAAGTATTAATATTCTTCATTTATACTCACGTTATACCTAAGAAAAGTTGCAAGCAGATAAAGTAGAAGCTAAAGAAATTCGAGAAGACAACGAGTAATCCCAAAGCGGTGTTCATTTTCCGAACCAACAAAGCTTGCTTTACGTACGCCTCTCGAATCTTCCGCCAGAGGTATACGTGCAGGACCTCTTCATCCTGAAGTATGATATATATTATCAGGTAATGGAACAAGACTCTGTTCATTATTATGCATCTAAGGAAGTCCTTTTTATGAGAGAGGAGGACAGACAAACACGGGTTTCATTGGATGGTAGTGAAATAACCCAGCCCATATATAACATCGCAACAAGATGTGTTATCAACCTATTTGACTTTGGACATTTAGACAATATTAGATGTAATCCAGATTTCTTAACATGCTTAGAAAATATATAAATTGATTAGAAACATTACGTCATTGTCAAAATTTTTCACCTATAAATGTACCTCTCTAACAATTACACCTTACCCTAATATTTTTTTCCTTGCTTAGCTTCAAACAAACACCGGCAACGCACTCGTTCAGCCGCCTATACCTCGAAGCAAGGCCCATACTGATGAGTATAATAACCAGGTCTTGGAAGTTCCACAACATCGTTGCAACGTTGCTCGTCAAAAATACTGGTACGGCTATCACATAGTAATAATCCTCTGGAAACGCCAGTTACGTTTATTACTTGTCTTTTATAACATGTCGTTTATGGACTCTGTCAAGTTATTGCTGTGTAAAATCTTTATAGACGATTAAGAATTTGAGAGTCCTACGTGAGTTTTCGAGCGCGTAAGAGGACCGCATTTATTTTGATTCGTATTTGATAAAATAACACGTGGAAAAGACCCCTTCAGTAAGGAAGGAAGAAGAAGAAATTAAAAATACTCGTTTACGGATAGAATTTTTAATTGTAAACTTAATTTGTTGCTTAGTTACGGTGTGAATCAAGGACAAAGAATACAATTTCGTGTTTTTAATATTAGTAGGTACTACGAGTAATTCGCAATCAAAATTTTACAAATATAATTTTGAGTTTTGCAGTTAACTAGATGGACTTGTAATGAAATCCTGTTCCCGTGGGGCCTGGGACGAACACATTTCTGTGTCACTGTTCAGTTTTCATTACGGGAAAGTTGTTGAACTTCTGTGACCTACTCCACCAGAATAATTTTTCACATCTCTGAGATATAACGTTCAGGATCTCTCATGCAATTATAACATCTCGTGGCACAATTTAATAACGAAAGTGGTCAAGGCAGACTTATCAACAAACATATCTTACAATCTACTTACGATCTTTAAACAGAAATCCATGGGATTTAAGTATGTATGTCCGCAAAAACTCCGTTATAGGACAGTCTGTCCCTGTTGACGCTAAAATACTCACAAGATGTTCTACTGAAATAATAAAAAATAACTCAAAATTAAACTTTAAGCGTGTAAGACTAAAAGGAGAAGCTGAAATAGGTCGGCAGCGCACGTTGCCGAGATATTATATGGTGGGGGGGGGGGTACTTCACCTTGCATCAAGTAAAAGCCTATCATTAAAAAAATATATTTATATTAACGGAATATTTTATGGAACTACGAAAAGCCAAAATTTTCTTTTTGCCAACCCCAAAAAAAAACAAATACAATTACTTAATTTTTAATTTCACTATCAACAAAAGCTAAAATATATGTTTATTGTCAATCAATATTTAAGAAACTTTTAAAGCCTAATTTCAAAACAAGAAAATATACCTATTGTTCCCAAACTAATAAATATAGTTACTGCGATCAATCTTTTCCGTATAGAAGGATCCTGTGGTACATATTTCACAGTGAGCATCCATTCCACAGATGCCCAGTATTTCGATAAGGTTTTCCATTTGTATGAGAGCCTGCAGCACAGCACGAGAGATATCAAAGATGACGCGTAAAACATGGCTCCGGCCAAGCGAGCTGTGACGCTTCCTGCAAGTTAAATATGACTGGACATTTATTACACCACCTACATAGTTTAATAGTGAGGATAGAACTCGAAATATACATATAAAATGTATGCTAAAACATATATTATGTGAGGAGGAGAACATACAAATATAACATATAATAAAAACACAAAAAAATATAATTTTTAAATCTTTATCCTTCATTTATTATGGCTTATATTAACAAAAATCGATTAAAATAAGGATGACACGGGTAGGACTTGAACCGACATCTACAGCATTCCGCGATGCTGCTAAACTAACTATTAATAATTGCTTAATATTTTAAAAGTGGTTACAAGGGAAGTTAATTTTCTCGCTATTTACCACGAATTCGAACATTAGGACAAAGATAAGTTAATAAAGTCGTTTAAGGTCGGTTTGGGAACGCAAATGATCAAAAACTTAGCTAATAGAGACAACAATGTGTTCAGGACAAGAGGATATCGCTTAAAGAAAGGAAAAATCGATGACACGAATAGACGAGTGGGCCTCGAACCGGTAACTACAGCGGTGTCTATTGCTGTAACCAACTGTGTGTTTGTTTTATAAAGTATTTTAATAAAATTATTCCTCTACTATAAGAAAATCTGTTGTTGTGTTGAAAACCTCTTAATATCTAAGCAGATTATAATGAAAAGCGTCGCTGTGTCAATTATACCCTTGTTTAGAATACTTTGTATCCGAAAATATGTTGTAATATCACACATGTACCAACTATTCGAATATATCTTTAAATGCGCTGTATAATTACACATTTTAAAATAACGATATTCACTTACTAAATAAGAGATTAATACTTAGTTTTATCTATATGACCATTTTTCTACATTATCATTTCTCAAAGATTTTCTCTTCGTGGGTGAAACCAAGGATTTAGTCAGGTTAGCAGCTATACTAAATCTAAACATACTGTGGTTTGCTGTATCGATTGCCAAGCCCGCAAGAGCTCTTATAACTTTCCATATAGCTCCACATTCAACCACTAGCAACATACAGATTAGGACAATAGTCCAAAGTTGCCACAAGTTGCTCGATCCCGCTATCCCGATGTATCTTGCCCAACGGAAAATATTTGACATAAATTTGAGAAAGGTCTGAAATTCATAAAATATCTTTATAGTAAAAAAACACATCGGACGACACACGTGGGGTTCTTTCTTTGAAAACGCAACACTATAGTATCTTAACAATCTATTTTGGTTGTGGACTTTGCTCTTGAGTCATTCACAACAAAATTTATAGTCATTATTTTTATCTCCAGCGAGAAAATGCTGAGCAAAAAAAAATTAACTAGTAAAAATTTAACCAGTATCCTACTAAATATTAAAACTACATTATCACTATTAGACCAACGAACCCGAAAGAATGGCTCTGAAATTACGCATTAGAACTTTTAAAAACAAGTTATGTTTAAAAATCTAAATAGAAACATATACATTTAATCTTCTAAAATCTAAAAATATATGTAACTGCTTTATCTCTTTTGTAAAACATTTAACGTTAAGTGCGCAAATTCAGTTCGAAAGGCGATAGAACGCGGTTCGATTCCCGAACCGCAAAGTATCAACCATCAGGCAAGCCATATTATTACTTCTTGTCTGTAAATATAATTAGCCAAGAAACGTATACAAAAAAGTGAATACTTACATCATGGTATGGTTGATCGGGTAAAAGGAGGGTGTTTCCGAAGTAAATAGTTTCTTGTTTCATTTTTTACTGTCGTTGAAATCACTTCTATTCACTAGAAATGTGGATTGATAAATACAAACTAACGTGTCTAGTAAGAACCGTTTTCTATTGTACAGCACGCGATAGACCGCTTAACAAAAAACACACACCACTGGCATATAATTTTATTCGCGTGCTAAATTAAATAAAAATTGCGAAATACTAACTCCATTTTCTCAGTAGTATAGTGGTTGAACGCATTGCCTATGTTGCCATAGCAATGACAGATTCTATATTTGAATACAGTAGCTTTGATCTGAAAAATCGCAGAAGTTAAAACTCGGTTATAAATTGAAAAAATTTACGACACGGGCAACACTTGAACCGGTATCTACAACGTTCCGTATTTTTGCGATAACCAATTGAGCTACCATGTCATCCACACGTCGACGTCGAATATAATTACAACCTTAACCCTTTGGTATTAGGGTTTAATGTTTTATGCTTTGCAGCTTAAGAAAAGCATTGAAGATGAAATTATAATAGGTTAATAAAATTCAATGATGTCTTGTAGGACACGGTAGCTCCATTGGTTAGAGCAAAAGCACGGAGCACTGTGGATGCCAGTTCAAGTCCTACACTTGTCATATGTTTTTTTCAATTTTTCATTTATATAGTGCCATTTGATTATAAGTATTGTATTAATATGTGAAAAGTTTTAAAGACATGCTTTTTAAGGACTATCTCTTAGCATACCAGGTGTCCGATGCCCCAAATTGCCCCAAAGTGACCTCTTGGCAGATGATTGGTCATCAATACTTAAAGAATTGTCTGCCTTTGAAATTATCTCCTAATGTAATTGGTAATAACCTATTTTTAATTGTTATTGTTTAAATATGTGTGTCTCCTATTAATGTAACTGGCTATTGCCGTTTTAATTGCTGTAAATAAATGATATATACTATATGTAACCAAATTTCTAAGATTCAGAGCAATTAATATATTTAACACTTGAATGAAAATTTATGAAGATATTAACTTAACGAGGAAACTTAAAGTTCGCCAAGCCGTGGACCAGATCCTCCGTAAGTTTCGAGAAGAAAAGATAAAACGGGTTCTAAGTTAAATTCATAAATAAAGCAGCTGTTTAAAGTTTTATTGTTGCCATAAAGTGGCAGCAAAGTTATTTATTCTTGAAAATATCCTTATTAAATTAAATTGCCGATGAGGAAAACTTTATTTAAGTTTGAAGCTTGCGCAAATTAACACTTAATAAAACACTTGTGACAATATATAGCGCGAAATATGTAAGTAAATATATTTACAATTTATATTAAAGTTATTTTGAGACTGTATTTAAAATAAAGTGTTAATACTTTAACTAATACATTTGCCGTTTTAAACCGTTAAACGTGATTTATTTAAGTATTTTCGAGGTAACAAAAGATTTGCTCTTATACTTTTAAAGAATTCTTGCCTAGAGTTTTTTTTGATTACAACACAAGACACATAAAACAATAAAAATAAACGTAGAAAATCTAAAAATTGTAATGTATCAACAATTTTCATCGCTTGAATGTTCAATTTTCCGAATCGTCGCACTTTCGTAGCTGATTCGTAGCACGTTCGTAGCAAAGCGATATTGGTCTACGCGTACATCTATACACCCCATTTAGTATCGTCTGTAGTTTACGCAAGTAGTACACATTTCAATAAAACACTTTTATCGGTTTAAAACGCGAAATATTAATTTTACTTAATTTGTTTGTTTGTTTGTTTCGGACCATACTTAAAATAAGGAAAAAGTAAGTTAATTAATATATTTCGTGTTTTAAAACGATTAAAATGTTTTATTTAAATGTAGACCCCGCTAAAATAAAACTGTATGTTTGCTATTCGCTGCCATATTATAAGTTGTTACTTTGTAGAGGAAGCAAGGTGGAAACAAATAATTTTGTTAAAATAAGTCAAACTGATAATCAAATTTTCTAATAATTCATAAAACTATTATAATTTTCCAAAAAACCACCTTCATTTATTAGTAAAACCACTTAACCCAAGTTAAACAATTGAAAAGCAATTTTGTGCTGGCTGTTGTTAACACATGTTAAATAACTTATTGCGGTTTAAAACGCTAAATATAGCAACTAATTTAAATTTTAGCACGCTAAAATATCTAAAATACTTTACAGTTGCTGACTTAAAGGTTAATTAAAATTACTAATATATTGCTCGTTTAAAACCGTAAAAAAAGTTATTTAGGGGTATCGCTTGCAACAGCTGACGATGTATAAAGTGAATTTCTGATTTTCTTTGTTTGTATTATACTTTCTCTAGAATTACTACAACTATTATGTCGTTCATATATCTAGTTATTTACGTTATATATAACATATTATTCTCAAGAGGCACTTGACGTATTTCCGGTCGCAAACAACACTTAATATCTCGCGAGGTTCGCACTCAACGTTTTGATTGATCGTGTATATCATGCAAAACTATCCCAGTTACCACCTGCAAACGGCATTATCTTTTTATGTATTAGCAATTCTGTAAACTGTACTATTTAAGGGTGCGAGAAATCAAAGGTAATGTTTTTCTCTTAGTCACAAACTACACTGAACTCTAAAAATTAATAGTTTTTTAAAGCTTCACTGAAAATCAGTTGTAGCGTAACTGACGCAAGGTTATTTTGGTGTTTATTTCCTTCTAGTTCAACCTCTTTATGAGGTTAAAATATAATATGATTTAAATCTATATATTTTTTCTTTTACGATTATTATAACCTTTTTTTGTAGTCGTTAAACTGAATAAAGTGATTTGTTTTTAATTATTATTATAGAATTTTATAACTATGTTTTTTATTTTAAGTATGTTTAAACAAAGACCAAGTATATAGCTACTAGTTCCAAGTATTTTTTTTTAACTCTGTCATAATTAAGAGTACTAGTATATATCTCAATTAAGGAATAACTTAAAAGAAAGAAGTAATTTTGCTAATTGTATATAATCCTTTTTTAAGTGTTCCTTACATTTGGTTTAAGAAATTGACAGTTTCAAAACTTTTAAACAATAGAAGGATCTAGCATTGACAATAAATTATTATATTTAAAATAAACGAGATGTCAAAAGATTTATAAAATAGTTTCGGCTAGTTATAAACATTTTACATATGAAAAATGTGGGGTTAACACCAAGAAATTAGTAAGAAATTAAACTACGAATCGTCGAGTTGAAGTCAAAAGAAATTTAACAAAGATTCATTGAGCTTGATGAACGAATTTTATGTCAGCATTTAAAAACATAAGGGTTGAAGGGTTTTTATGTCACTGAAATGCGCTATCAAGTTTTTATAACCCAAACATATTTTACTTTTTAAAACTTTACCCCAATAAAAACACCACAGTAAGGCATAGGCCTAATCTCACATATAAAGATTCCTGCTGCAATATGGATTGGTGGACTTACCGAGTACCGCCACTAAATCTGTGCTTTTCGTGATACGGGATGGGGGGGGAGATAACACCCCTTCTTTCAAACTCTAGTCGACAAGAAAACATTTTACACAACAAATTATATCGACGTTTTAATGCTATTCAGCAGTGGTTATGGGTTAGATAATAATGATCTAACTAGTGTCATTTGCGTTTTAACCCGTTTAAACTATTTAATTTCATGAAATAAATAGTATGATTTTGAAACTGTATTAAAACAACAAATTAAGAAATAGATATTGTATTCTACTTTAAATTTAATATCTACAGTTTTACAAGAAAGTAATTACTTATTTCAAAACAAGTAATTTTAATAATGTAACATCACAACGCTCAACTAATCACTAAAATAATTACATCAATCAATATATAATCACATTTGTCACATTATCTATTTACATTATATACGAGGACTTTTTGTATGAAATACAATAATGCTACGTTTTTACCATTTGGTTAAGAAATAAAATATATGTCAACTAATATATAAATAATAATAAAATAAAATTTATGAGCTAGCAGCTAGCGGCAGAGTAGCCTTACTGCAATTTAATGACTTGAATTATTTATATTTTGATAGTCTAAAAATGTTTATCTACAATAGTACAGTGACCGAAAATTGTTAACAATTTTTACACAAATAATAGTGCAAAGTCATTTCCGCCTAATTTAATTGCACGTTTTTATTTCCCTCATTGAAAATCACTTTTATTTTTGTTATTAGACCACTCTGCCTCTAGCAGCCTCATATATTGTACACACAAAACTTTACTATTTATTGGATGTTATTACGTTAACCAAATTCTTTTATATTACTACTAGCTGTAGCCGCGACTTCGTCCACATAGAATTTAAAACATTGTTTCTTCGCCTGAATTGGTAGAAGAGTGATATATTATAGCCTAAAATTTTTTTCGAAAAATAGTCTTTCCTACAAAATTCGAACCAGTAGCTTCCGAGATTAGCACTTTGAAACAAACAAACAAACTCTTTAACTTTATAATATTATAATTGATAATTAGAATATATCGTTTTGAACGTATAATTGTAAAATAAACATTTTTTACAATACACACACACAATAAAACATTACAAACAGCTTAATACCGAACGTTGAAATCTCCCATTCTAGATTCCATGAGAACCGTTTCGGTCGTGTCGTGCCCCGCTTGGGCACTGGGCATGGCTGAAGGTCTCAAAGATATCGCGAGGGGAAGAGCTGATCTGGCGCAGAGCTGGGATGCACCACGCGTCGAACCCACGGATCTGTAGAGGGTGCAACGGCCACGTCTGAGAAGGGAAATATGTTCTTTCATACCATATTAATCACGTATAAGTGTACGAGATAGAAGAATGGTTGCCATCTTAAACACTGAGCATAGATGACAAGTTCGCTTGATTATCAAAAAAAATCACCGAGAACCATCCTCCAATCTCGACACCCGCACACAACGCGACCGCCGCTACAAACTAAAAAAACATTTTTAAATAAAACACTTCACTCTTCAAAACGTGTAGGGGTACTATTTAACTAATATATTTAAACTGTAGACATTTTAAAGTTCTCTAATGAAGAAAATACTTTTTAATGAACATGTAGCATATTAAAGAACCGAACATTCGACTTTGATTTGACGATAGATTTTCTCCCAACACACTACGTAGGGTCCCAACTGTGGGAACTATTTAATGACAATGACTATTAACTTTACTATTTTGACTTTGATTTGACCTTTTTTTTTCAAATATTACATTCTCTCGTAGGATCAATTCTTTACAATTAAAGTTAATTTGAGCATTTAGAATGTTTGTCTGACTGTATTTGTTTTCACTCCACGAAAGAAAATCATTTTTCAAACTTTTTTTTAAGTGTCGTGCTATATGCTAATGTATTCACACTAAATGCACGCCCACATTGGCAATAGTGACGCAGAGATCGTACTACAATCTCTTTGGAGACGACAGCCGACCAGAACCACTGAACACACAATTAGCCCGCTACGGTGCTTAAGAAACGTGTTGCCTAGCAGCGTGAGAGGTCCTGGGTACAAAGGGAAACAATAAATTAACCACTTGTTTGTAAATAAAATCGACCAGTGAAAGGGACACAAAAATATGTTTGCCCCATGCCTTATGAAGACAGGATTTGACTTTTCAATGTAAATTGAACGAAGCATAATTATTATATCTCAAACTTTCTGCAAAGCCGGCTGAGTAACCAGTTGAACGTGATACTACAAACTTCGATTCCGAGTTTTATCTTCGAGTGCAATTCAATCGTAGCCGACTAATGTAAGGGTGGGAACGTGCTCCGACTGCATTTGGCCTAACTTGGAACAAACGTATTAGCGCAATTTAAATGTGCTAATGTAATCCTACTTTAACAGCTGTTTGATCGCGTCTAGCTGCTCTCGTGAATATTAAATCGCCCCCTTCAAAATAACGTATTGTGGAAGGGCGTCTCCGTTTGTACAAGTCAATTCAGAGTAGAACAAATGCCTATACATTGAAAGATGTCCTTTTAAAGCATGTAATACTTGAAAATAAATTTGCAAAGCGAATCAATTTATTTTTAAACTTCGAAAAACGTTGTTTTGTTTGTGAGATTACTATGTTGACGGCACATACAAATAATTGGTGGAAATGCATAAATTTTTATCAAATTGGATTAGCATTAAAACGTTCCTTGCGAATTATTTATAAAAGATAGATTACGGTCACCGACTTTTTTAATAATTAACGAGAAATCATTCTTTCATACATATTTTTTGGTTTCTGCAACCGTTTTCGCGTGCGCAGGCAACGGAATCCCTTAAAGATAATTAATTATCGTTTTCCCACCATGTTCCACTGTTTCTTTGCTCCAATTTCCTGCATCCAGATGCTAATAAATAAATAAATAATGGTCTATCTAAAACGATACATTTTTAATTTCCTTCAGTAATTTCTGAGATTAAAACAAACAAACAAACTCTTCAGCTGCATACTATTGGTATAGAGTTTAGATAACAAAGCACTATAGCTTAATAAGATCTACAAATTTAGGTTTCATATTTTGTTTGTCTATCTTATCTAATAAAAATGTTAGTAGTGTCATCGGAATACCGATAGAACTATTATTTTTTATTGACTATTCAAACCTGGGACTCTTTAGAAAATTGGCTTTTCCTTAGTAGTCGGTAGAGATTTGGATTGAAATAAAGAATGGTTATTTAAAAAATTAAATTCAATGAATAACGTAATAAGCACAATATTTTAGGCGAGATTAACAAGGAAGGTTAAAATTGGAGTTCACCGGAATTCGAATAAATGATGACATTAATTAGCCATTTGTTTTCTTTTGTTGTTTCTTCTGTCGGCGATTTGCACCAATTTGTCACCTTTTAAATGAACGGGGAACATTTTGTTGTTTAACCTAATTAAGGTTTTCGGAGGGGGGGATTCTGTTTATATAAAACTTTTTTCAATGAGATATTTTAAATATATTTTGAAATACCGTCTGTGGTTGTCACGAGTTGTACACCTTTAAATAAAACACATTAAAGGTTTAAAACGCGATATACGTATATTAGTTAAACTTATTTGAAAATTATTTTTAACTACGGCCCGATGTTTCGGATGCTTTGCACCGTGGTCACGCGGACTAAAGATGGTCACGTCATAGTTGCAGAATTGACTAATAGTCAATTTATTTCATCAGTCGTCAAAGACACCCTCTTTCTTTAGTCTAGTAGAACGTCGGGCCGTGGTTAAAATATTTTTTATAAAGTTTAACTAATGTATATCCCTTGAAAACTTTAATATTTTTCACATGTTATTGCACATGAAGGCACTATATAATTTAAAAATCGAAAATGAATTGAAAAAAAATCGACTCGCGAGATGTGCCTATCAATAAATTGAAAAAAAATCGACGATGAGGCGTAGGATTCGGTAGCTCAATTGGTAGAGCAACAAAAATAGAAGTAAAAAATAGCCCAAATCGATTTTTTTTTTTTTCGATTTTTATAGTAATGTAATCGCGTATTAAACCGTTATATTTTTTTTTTAAATATATGTTTTTAGTTTTACCCAACGAAGAAAATTTAAAGTGCTATCAGTGACTGTACACACAGGCTACATATTCCAAACTAATGTCAAAGTCAAATCTACAATATTAGCGCCATCTGTGTCCTCGTAATTTATATTTAGAGAAACTGGCTGTGTCCTTACAGACTAACTCACAGTTACTTTTCATTTAGCTGTGTGCAGTTTATTTCTCGACGTCGGGACATCGTTTGTTAAAAATAAAATAAAAATAAGTTTTATTTACATGCGTTCTTTTTATTTGAAGTGTAGCAGACATATGTACTGTGTTTGCGCAGACTTTTCTACCCAAACAGAGCTCTGAGGTCCATTTTATGGAAGTCAATGACCCGCACAGCGGACAAAATTGCTATTTTGTGGACGTCCGCTTTATGTGCAATTAAAACTTACTCGCAAAATAGCTTTTGCACTTTTATGTCTTGCAATGAAGACAGAAATAAGATCTAATCTCTTTGACCAATTGTATGTCGAGCTTACTTGTTGTCGTATTTATTTTATTACAGGAACTATATAAAATTACTAACTGTGCCAATGACTTCGTCCACTAAGAATATTTATTTTCCAAATTCATTTTTGCAAATTCCTCGTCGCGGTTTTTCTTTGAGATCATTTAAAGAGGAATCATTATTTCATACATATTTTTTGGCTATCTTGATTGATCCGTTCCTTGATCCGTTTTTGCAGCTTACGCCTCGGTAACCCATAATGATGAATAATTTTCCCACTTTTTTCACATTTCCCGCTGTATCTTCGCTTGTATCAGTCACAGAGCGATGTTTTATAGCCTATAGTCTTCCTCGATAAATGTTGTATTCAACACAAATATTTACGGGTTTCAAATAAATTTTAAATTCAAACCCGTAGTTCCTGAGATTAGCGCGTTCAAACAAATAAACAAACTTTCAGCTTTAGATATTAGTATACATATAACGGACTGTAGCAAGTCAGATGCTGCTATAACAATTAGTAGCTTTAGAAGTGTACCAGACATTACGACTCTGTGAATTCGATCCGAATATACAAAAAAGGTCGACAGCGCATTTTGTCAAGATATTATTATATGGCTAAGGTATTTCACATTCCATCAAGTATACCCCATGCTTGTGTAGGACATACACACACCTTTTTCATAAAATGAAGCTGAAAAGGAAAATAAAACAACCATAAACAGTCCGAAACCCGCTGAAAAGCTTCTCAGCAATAAGTGATGATGATGTATAAATGTAATTTTAGTTTTTTTTTTTTAAATATACCACCAGTAACCCTAGGGTTGCCATTTTTATACTTTCAACACTTTAATAATTGACCAGAAAATCCTTTTTACACGAGAAGTTAGGTTCGAAACCTGATCTTGCCCCTGAAATCCCACCAACCTACACTGTAGCGGCATAGTGGGTCTAAACTTTTAAAGCGAACTTTCATGGAAGATGAGATTTGTGGCTAGAAGTGAGACATTACGGCGAAACAAAAAACGAAAAAGCTACTCCAATTGGTGTGCATAATTTCAAATTTCCATACAGCCTAAATAACTAAAGAGAAAGTTTGTTTTATATAATGGACTTTACAAAGATTTTATCAGCACAGTTTCACAAAAGCAATAGTGATAATGGAACTCGTCCTTAATTAATCTCGACGAAACAATAACACCATTGGAGCCTTAAATAATTTTCAATCTGCTTCCATTTGGATCCCGGCCAAGTCGCTAATATTCCGCGAGTAATTAAAAAGCGTCTGTTATTTTTAATATTTTGGTCGTGTTTTGAATTTGGTAAGTTTTAAGTTATATTGGGAATCTCTTTAAAACCTAGATTTAAGATTGAAAAGAAAACTACGACTAAAAACGACGCTAGCAAGACTTGAACCGGTAACTCTAACCAACGGAACTAACCTCTAACCGTGACCTACCCGTAATTTTCGTACCACCAATTTACTATCCAGATTCCCAGGCGCAGTCCGACATTTTTCAGAAAAATTTAAAATTGATTAAAAACAATGTGGGAAGTGAAGTTACGATCCGCCAATCAATACATTTTTAACTTACCTACTGCAGTGGCACCTTAACAGCCTCAAGAAGGCAGCTCGGAAAGTTCTATTGAACACTGTGTAAATAATGGGATTTATCGTAGACGAGACGTAGCCTAGCCACAAACAGATATCCACTACGTGTTCTGAAACAAAAATGTCATCATTCAATTTCTTTTATATGTTTAGAGTACATGAAAACGTGTAAATTGATATACTTAAAATCGATTATAAAATACTGTTTTAGATTACGCGAGTAGTACACATTTAAATAAAACTATTTTAACGATTTAAAACGCAATATATATATTAATATATATACAAATATGTTTACCTATTTTATAAATCGCGTTTTTAAGCGTTAAATTGTTACATTTAAATAGATTTTTTTTAAGCGTTAAATTGTTACATTCAAATAGATTTTTTTTTTAAATTAGGACACGGTCAGGACTCGAACCTGTATCCACAGATCCGTGTTGTTGCTCTAACCAATTGAGCAACTGAATACTATACACCATCGTCGAATTCAACCTAAGCATGCACCGTTGTGCAAAGTTATATCAACCTTAACACTTGAATATTAAGATTCAATGTCTTATACTTTGTAGATTAAGAAAATCATTGAAAAAACAAACCTTTTGAAAATTTATAATCGATTTTGATTTGCCATCATATGCAAAAAATATTAAAGCGAAACGTCGGGCCGAAGTAAAAATCATTTTCAAATAAGTTTAACTTATATATCGCGTTTTAAACAGTTAAAGTGTTTTATTTAAATATTAAAGGTTTCATATACAATTCAAAGATTACCTGGTACAATGCAGGCAGGGCAGGATGCGAAGAGAATATTTAAAAGGAAAAAAGGAGCCCAGCATAGCACGAAAGTGAAGAAAACCAGCCCCAAGACTTTGGTGGCCTTTTGTTCGTTTGCTACAGCGTTGGCTGATAGGGATCTGTCCTTTTTCCGATTTGTTAGAAACCTGGCAAGAGAAAATTTATTATTGAAAAAGTTGTATCTCCCGGGATTGGATCCGGCGACGGCGTACCTTTCCGTCATCACATTGCATGTATATAGGGAAAAACAAAAGAATTGTCTTGATTACATCTACACTAGCATAAAACTAAAGAGTTTGTTCAAACGCGCTAATCTCAGAAATTGCTGGTTTGAAATAAAAAATATGTGATATAACATCTGAAAACTGTGGAATATACGAGGAAATTCATCTTTGAAGCTACTTTCGGGCTACCGTTGCGTGCGCTACGAAAACAGTTGAAGAAAATCAAAAATGTATGAAATAACGAATGCTCTTTAACTGATCTAAAAAAATGTTAACGCCACTATATGTCTATCTTTTAAGATTAACTCGCAAGAACAGTTTCTATAACCATAATATTTGATCAAAATAAACGCAACAGTACAATACAATATAAATCTTACAAACAACAAAACGTTTGCTGGATCAGTGACTTGATCATACAATTAAAGTTAACAAACAAAAGTTTTCCTTTATGCATGAAGATCGTAAAATAAGAATTATATATTTATTTATACTCCAGTTTGTATTAAATTTAATTTTAAACATAACTATGTAAACTACAGTCCCAAAACTATAATGTCAGTCTCACTGGCTCTACAATTGTTGAGAATAAATTTTACGCTTATACAAGGACATTTTCCCTCTAACTTTGTCCTCAGACACTTTCCCTGTAATATATTTACAGGTAGTGTTTATGGCCACAATTAGTGCAGAGTAGTTTACACTCAAGGGTAATATTTTGTCAAGTAAGTCACGAATTATGTACTGTATTTATCTATTTAAATAAAACACTTTAAAACGCGAAATATATTTGCTTACTTATTTACAATTTATTAAAACTACGGCCCGTTGTTTCTTAAGCTTTGCAACAGTCATAGTAAGGTGGGGATGAAGATGGAGGGTGTCCCTAACGTCATTATAACAGCTACGCTAGCGCTATCTGTTCGGAACTGGCTGAGTTCTTGCAGAACTGACTAACTAATACATTTCGCGTTTAAAAGCGTAAAAGAGTTTTTTATTTAAATGTGTACTCGCATAAACTACAGGCAACCAAATTTACAAATGTATTTTTTATTTTACATCCTATACTGTCTGTAGTTTACGCCAGTAGTACACATTTAAATAAAACACTTTAACGATTTAAAACGCGATATATATATTAGTTAAACTTATTTCAAAATTATTTCAACTACAACCCGACGTTTTGGTTACTGCAAAGCATTTCAAAGTAATATATATCGCGTTTTAAACCGTTAAAGTGTTGTATTTAATGTAATATTATATTTCAATAATACGATAACTTTGTTGATTCCTAATTATAGTTCTATATTGGTTAAAATATATTGTATATTCAAAATTTGATGTCGCTGTAGCAAATACTGTCTATAGTTTACGCGAGTAGTACACATTTAAATAAAACACTTTAACGGTTTAAAACGCGATATATTAGTTAAACTTATTTGAAAATGATCTTTAGTCTCCCCGTGACCACGGCTGCTGCAAAGCATCCGAAACGTCGGGCCGAAGTTAAAAATAATTTCCAAATAAGTTTGACTAATATATCGCGTTTTAAACAGTTAAAGTGTTTAATTTAAATGTTGCTGTAGCAAACATTAATAAATAATTCATTTCAGATGAAGAATAATTCGAAATAAGTCTCATTTACATCTCAAAGTAGTTCACCATACTCCAATATTTAATCTCTTCGTTCGCGCAATGCAATAACCATGCATTATTCGCTTTACTACGTTTCATATAAACTTTTGGAGTTTCAACTAGAACAATAGTTTGAAATGACGAATAACTCTGCTTCTGGTTAAGTAATATTTAATACCTCGTGTTTCATTCATTATTCAACTTACAGTTCGTTCGTAGTTCCGCTCAATTTTGCATTGTTTTTATTATTTTACATGCATTTATATTTACACTAGTGTTATAACGCTGAAGAGTTCAAGAGTTACTGGTTTTTAACCATTTATCGGAGAAGGATTTAAGCAATAAAAATCTGTTTTAAAATAATCAAAACAAAAGTTCACGACGGACTATGTTTATCTTTTAAAATTATCTAACAAGAACCGTTTTTATGGGAAACAAATTTCTTCGAAAAACTTCATATGGCCAACATGTATTTCATAAAATTGTGTCTATTGCAATCAAGAAAAAATAAGTCATAAAATTCCACTATTTTCTTTTCTTAAAATTAAATCAATATTAATACTAAATTATATAGTATGCTTCTAATAAATACATAAAATAAAAGGCCTATTGCTCGTTTTAAGCCGTTAGAAGTGTTTTATTGAAATACATATCTCTCATAGAAAGGCTTCTACTTTCCAGTACCTGCCTAAAATTGAACCTTAATTGGGATCAAAGCACGGCTTTCAAAGAACCGGATATTGCATTACCTATTTGAGATCAAACAACGTCAGAAATACTCGCATAAATTTACCTCGCCCACCTCTGTGATGTCTAATTAAAGCAAGCGATCGGACAGCACTTACAGACAATTATTATTTCTCGATGAAACCGGCCCTTATGTCTCACTAGCTGTGTCAGCGCCTTCGTCCGCGTAGAAAAACTTTTTTGGGCGTCCAAATTCGTTTTTGCAAACCCCTTCCATTTTTATAAACTTAAGCTGTTACCCACGACGTCGGTCGCGTCCCTTGCCGTCGTTCCTACAAGTTTATCTTAAAAGATAGCGACGCGGACTTTTTTAGATCATTTAAAGAGGAATCATTCTTTTATACATATTTTTTGAGTATTAAACCGTTTTTACAGCGTTCGCCACGGAAACCCTTAATGACGACTAAGCTTTTTTTACATTTCTTGCTGTATCTTCGTTTGTATGAGTCACAGGGCGACGTTTTATAGGCTATAAGCCTTCCTTGATAAATGCTCTAACCAACACAAAATTAATTTTTCAATTAAAACTCGTAGTTCCTGAGGTTAGCGCGTTCAAACATACAAACAAACTCTTCACCTTTATATATTAGTATATAGATTACGTGTACGTTCGTGCTCAAGTAGCAAAATAATTTGCTCGAAAACTTCGCTTCGTCGAAACAACGCTTCACTTTTCAGTTGAAAATTTTGTTATCATCGGAAACTTTAAAAGCGCCATAGATACGACAAATTTATTACGTTACCTAGTTTCTATTACATGTTTTAAAAAGTCTGTAAAGAACCTATGAAAAAGTATTTCTTATGGTAAAAAAAGACGGACAAGTGTATGGTTGACTTGATGGGAGGTAAAAGACCCCAGCCATATAATCTCAACAATGCGCGATCGACCTATTTTGGTGTTTGTATATTCGGATGTGCCTACACTGAAACCGAAACGCGATTAAACACGGCCTTTTCATCAGTGGATGTCACCAAAAATTTATTTTAGGTTTTTTAAAATTTATTAGAGTTCTGTTAGACCCTTATGGAAATCGAATCCACGACACGTGTATTAAACATTAATAGATATATTAGTAATGTACATTCGTAATAATATAATATATAAACTTCAAAATATTCATTGGGTCATAGGGTCATGACACCCTCCCCCTCTGGATCCACCAGTGAACTAGTCTTACATAATATGAAAACTCGAATCACCTTAATGCCAAAGCGTTAGGTGCAATCTTTAGAGGCTTCAATTTGGCACGCCTGGTCTCCGCTGATATGTTGGCGGGAGTCTGTGTTGCCACATCCTTGCCCTTCTTGGAGCCCCCCGCACCAGTTCCGTTTCCGTTGCAGCCGTTCATATAACTTAGTTGAGGATGGGATACGCTCATACCAATTTTGTTTCTTTGGGGGCGGCTGAAACAAAAAAATGCGATATTTTTATAGTATTGGTATTTCTAATATCGATCTGGCGATAAGATCGGCTTCATAACGGAGCCTCCTTACGGAGTACGCTAAGCTGTCGGTTCCTATTATTATTCATGTAAGATTGGAAATCGTTTCATCTCGTTAACGCACAACTATAGGTTCGAATTTTTAATTCTTAGTAGAATTTCTTATAAATATTCTATAAGTAGAATTTATAAGAAATTCTATAGACAAAACTCACGCATTTTCCGGCTTTTTTATCTATGGACGGTGATTCGCTACCCGGGCGAAATTTCAAAATCCCTTCACCCATTTAATATAGAGATTGCTCATAAAATTGTTTCTAAAAAATAATAATAATTAGGTTTAAGAAAACATGTTTTGTGGTGGGAATTGAAACGAACACCCGTTAATTGCAATGACTCCGTCAAGAACAAAGAGCGATGTAATAAATTAGGTATTTAAGGATCTATATACACGGAACGGTTTACCGCATTCCAGGTTAGTCGCAATCTAAAAGATATATGGATAAGTGACGCACTAACATGCGACCACCGCACATCCTTGCGTTAACGATAAATCGCGTAGCGTGTACGGGCCCTAATTGCGACTATGGGTTAACCAAATATTTTAATAAGAGCCACGTGCCGTTTAATTAAATTAATGACATAATTGTTTTCACTGAGGTGTTATTGAATTATTGAAATTACGAATTCTCTAGAGCATGAACACTATTATTAAATTCGGGTTTACGTGAAATAAATACAATGGCAGTTGTCTTAGAGATGAACGAAAATGTACCTTATGACTTAGATGATACGATTTAGCTTTGCAATGTGGAGTTTTAAACACGCGAATTTATATTATCTTAGCTTCTTCGCGGCATTAGTTGTATCTCTTAGCTTTAGTTAAGACGAAACGAATAAACGACTAGTTTGGGGAAGATATACTCATTTAATTGTGTTTAAAATTTAGTGTAGAAGAGAAAAACAACGACATGCTCAAGAGCAACTAAAACCAAAATAATGAAAATGTGATTTCTTTTATGAAAAATATAACAGATGAAATGTGAAAAACCTTAGCCGTATAACATTTAAATAAGGTGTGTTGTCGACCTACTTTGCCTTTGGACATTTGGAATTCAAACCTGAAACCGAAACTCACTTTTGCGTTTTCCATCTGTAGACGATAGTTCGTGACTAGGTTTAAATTGCGATATTCCTAACATCATCGACGTTTTCGCGTAAAGCTTGTGTGAATTGACAAAAACATCGCTACATAGGATATTTTTTTTAATATAGATGACAGGCAAGCATAAGGTTTACTTTATGGTAGGTGAAATACCACAGCAATATAACTAAGCAAAATGTGTTGTTGACCTATTTTGGCTTTGAATATTCGATGTGCTAAAATCAAATACCAAGAATTTAAGAAGAAGACATTTTATTTATTTAATTAGTGTTTCTATTCGATGAAGAAAAAGTTATATAAAGAATTAGTTTTTATAAATAAATTAAAATCAATCCAATATCCAGATTTTGTAAGTGATTTTGTTAACAAACGACCTATTTATTTATCTGGTGTCCACGTTAAGAAAAATGTGTTTCGTAAAAATTACAAACCGATAGAAAAAAAACATACTGGACCCGGCGGGTACCCAAAAAAAATTTTAATCGTCATTTTAAGAAGTGTATAATGGAAAAAATATAATTACCTGGATACAGTTGTAACCCTCCAGGTCATATGCCTAGAGACCGCTGCGGGGGATAAATCTGGCGAACTCCTAGCATTTGTTCTACGAATAACCTGCGACGGCCCATTGTCGAAAGCTCCGCATTGTCTGTTGGAAAACAAATAATATTTCAGTCTGGTTTTTGTGATAACTGCCTTTAGAGCTCAATCTTCCATTTGTAAGGTTCCGTATTGTGAATAGTTTTTACTTCAACGTTCGCATTGTGTTTTTATAAATTTTGGAAGTGGAAAATATTTGAGCCATTCAATCTAAAAGCTCACTTACGGGTTTAAATACAGTGTGTACCCTGAAATTCAATAATAGCTATTTGTGATAGTGTACATATTTTTAACACACATTGTCCCTTGACTAGAGTTTCATATCGTACAGACCTTTATCTAACCCGCTTGCCAAATGATTGTTGGCAGATGACACATGTCTTTTTGGACACGATTATTTTATTATGCCTATTTCTTTTTGCTAATCTTACTAATTTTGCGCCCGTTTTACGATTTTATTTATTGGCAAAGTTGATCAGACTATTAAAGTCTATAAATACTTATATATAAAAATTTTTTAAATTATTTTCTAGTTGGATAAGCGATTTATCAAGAAAGGCTTTATTTAGAACATTTCGCTGCGAGGAGCGAAGTTACACTGATAAATTTGGGAATAAAACTATGCTTCTCTACTGTATATGTTTCTCTTTTACGATTCACTCGCAAAAACCGTTTGTTGGTTAATCTTGCAAAAAACAAAAAGTTTGCCGGATCAGCTAGTCTAACATAAAGACGAGAATATAACTTGAAAATTGTTGGGAATCGTGCTGTAAAATAAAAACATCTAAGACGCATAGACGCCGAACACCTCTCTGGTCTCAGCGTGGCTCAGCGGCTTTTGTCAAAGTTCAGCGCTGACTCCAAGCATCTGATTGTGACGCGAGACAAAGAAGTCATTAGTGATGTTATACCCAACTAGCCTTTGTTTCACAAGTATTGTGTGGAGGTTGTGATGAATGAGGGGGCTGATAAGTGAACGAAATTGGACATTTAGTGGCCATTATGACGGATCGTTGCGTGGATAAATAGGACGGTTTTCGGTGTCGTGTTTGTTCACACAGTGTAAACTAGATGTGTTGTTTCGAAATTAACATATTATGAATTTAGTATTGTCAGCCGTTTAATCGAGTTGTACACATTTTAACACGTTCCCTGCGGCACAGATTTATCTGTACATCCCATTACTGCGTTACGGGTCATTTCAAACCTTGTACTGTACAAGACATTGTGGCGGCACGAGGCATATTAAACCCCACTTCCCGTAGACGACAAAAATCCTCTTTTTGGGGCCAAAAAAACGTAGTGGACGTCTTTTGGTCGCGATTATTATTAGCATTGAAATAAGTACCTAAATCTGCCGCCGCCCGTGGTTAGGTTAATTTGTTTCGTTTCTATAGATAAAATAAAATGAGGGGTCTAATATATCCCGTATCGCACTGAAGACAGGCAGGTTTACATATTATTTAGTGATGGGAAAAAAATAACGATTTCTATATAATTGCATTCCTTATATTTATGTTTTTCATTGAAACATTTTAGAAACAAATATTGTTTTTACAACCGGTGCACACTGAAGAGACTGTTTTTTTTTTAACTTTCATTTCAGCTTCCCGACTGCGAGGTGCGGAGTTTTTCGTAAAACCCTACACATCTCCTCTTCTTTGGTCCCTCTCTTTCGAGATGATGCGGTTTTACAGTAGGTTCTGTAAAAGTAAGGTTAAAGTGAGTAGATTGATAGACATGACTGCTTCTGTTTAGTCGGCTATTACGACTCCCACAAAGACGCGGTGGGCTAATTTTTATAACGGGCACCACACGGCACTTAAATACATCCAATATCACACACATTTTAAAATTAACTTACTTTGCTGATAATTATTTTTTTTGACAGATAAATATAGGTATTTGTGACTGACCTGTTTTTTAAATTCCTTCCTATATTCTGATCTTGTCTCAAGTTCACCACCCGATTTTTCATGTTCCTCCTCAATCAACCTCTTTCTGCAACGCTTCGACATACCTATTCGATCGGTGTCACTTTGTCGCGTGCGCAGCCATGAATGCGTTGCACAACACTAACCGCGTGAAGCTAGCGTAAGGTGCGGTACGAGGTGCGCAGGCGTAGGAGGTGTTCGCAACCTCGTTCCGTTAGTAAATTATTTGTTCAGTGCGGCACGAGGTCTAACAAACCCGGCATTAAAGTTGATATACCAGAGAACTAGGAATGAATAGCATATCACAAATATATAGTTATCACTCTCCTACTCTGAACAAAATGGAAGTTATGCCTCTCGCACGACAGAAAAGTTCTAGCTTTTTCTTTCACTTTTAACGGTTTAAACTGCGAAAGATATTGCTTAATTAGTTGTTTGCTTTACTTTCTTAATTTTCTGGAGTTTAAACGAGTAGTACACATTTAAATAATCTTTTAACGGTTTAAGACTAATAATACAAAATAGTTAACCTTTTCAAATTTTTATTCTAACTTCTAACTGCGGCCCAACGTTTAGGATGCTTTGCAACAGTCGTGGTCACGGGGGGACCGGTAAAGGAAGTCCCTATTGTCAACGTCAAAAAGTTGGCGCTAGTAAAGCAGCTTTGAAACATTACAACGACGGGCCATAGAAAATAAAAAAAGTGTAAATAAGTGAACTGATACATTTCTAGTTTCAAACTGTTTTATTTAAATATGACTTTTCATAATATAGCAATTGAATTATGTATGTCTAGAAATTAAATAATGGGGCTTATAACTAGCTGTCAATTTTGACAGTTGACGTAACATTTGAATTGAGATTTCGAAGTAAATTTTCTTTATTACATTACATTATTAAAGAATTAAATAATTAAAGCCCAATTACACCGAAGAACGTTCTTCGGTGTAATTGGACTTGAATTTACTGATAATATCCATGTAGTGTAGAGAAGCTTAATATTGAGCAAATATATTTTACATATATTTTAAAGCGAACTACCTTATCCTTAATATGCGAAAACAGATACAACTCAAATGTTGTTTGTAGTTTAAGTAAGTAGCACAGATTTAAAACATTTAAGAGTTAATAACAGCACCAATAACAGATCGCGCTAGCGTGGCAGTTTCAACTTTGACATTAGGGACCCAACCTTCAGTCCCCCGTAACCACGGCTGCTGGAAAACATCTGAAACGTCGGGCCGTAGTAAACATAAATCAAAAATAAGTTAACTAATATACTTCGCGTTTTAAATCGTTAGAAGTGTTTTATTTAAACACTTCTCTTACGATACCTATACACGGTTCAAAGACAGTTCAACTACATAACACAATCGAACTGTAATTTAGTTATTTTAATAAATCATTTTAAATCCCATAACAATATTTTTAAACAATCTTGACTCGTACAAAAATACTCCCAACACATTTTAATCATAAAAATTCAGAGATCGGTGCCAATAGCGATAATTCCGCTTTCCGTTGTATTTCTTCTTCGGTAGAATTACGCCTGGCGTAAGAACTTTTTGGCACGCTGTACACAAATATTATACAACTTTAGTTTCAAGGTGTTTAATTACATTAAAAAGTGTAACAAACGGTTATATAATTTTGTTATATGATTTCTTGATATCTTGTATTATGATTGATTGTGGCTCATTTTACATATTCTGAAATCCACTGACTGTAACTGAAATGCGATTAAACTTCACAACTCTTGATCAGTGGACGGTCCTTTGTGGCCATATCAGGTTTGAAGACTACCTCCATGTTACGACATGTTATAGACAAATGTCTGGCGTAGGTAATATTCCAAATTTATAAAGCTGATATTGTCACTATTTAGGATATATATATTTTTTTAATTATACCATACCCCCTGTTTTTTTTTTTTAATTATATCATAAATAATTACTCTACAAGTACGAAATCGCGTGCCTCTGCTAGTGTCAAATATTAGTATCATAAATAAAATATATATATACGAATGATATTCAGGAGAAGCAAGAACGGGAATGTAAAAAGGTATTTTTTTAAGTTTTATAGCCCAGTAATAATAAGTATTAATAATAAATAACAGCGTACCGTTTTATCCTAAGAACCGTTTAATCCGATACTGACGCCGTGTAAATAAATATTTTTAGTCTAAAACTCTTTAAACATTTATATGAGATTTTTATTGCAATTGTAACATGAACCCCGATATAATATGAAGCCACAACGCGATGAGAGAACAAAGCTGTGCCCGAATTACGTCAATAAGCTACATTATCATTTCTCGCGAACAAAGCCGAAATTGAAGCATAAAACGAAATGTGCCCAATAATAATACACTCGAAAACATTCAATGCTGGGCAGAAAAAACTCTCAACGAATGAATTGAAGTATATTGAAGCCGTTTCATACGTCAAGGTCTTGATTAAATATATTTACCTCAATTGATATTTCTATTGAATCGCCACTAATTACTAAACTTTTCACTAATCTTGAATCTTTAAATTAGATTCTGACAAATCAGTCACTATTCATTCGTTTCATTGGAATAGCATGTGCCATTTTATAATACAACTAGCTGTGTCAGCGACTTAGAGCGTTGTTTTGGGCATCAAAATTCGTTTTTGCAAAACCTCCCCTTCATTTTAATAAATTTAAGCTGTCACCCACGACGTCATTCCGTCATTCTTGCCAGTTAATTTAAAAAAGGGGACATATAGCACCACAGACATATTTCAGACCATTTAAAAGGGAATCATTCTTTAATACATATTTTTTGGGTATCTTAAACCGTTTTCGCAGCGTTTGCAACGGAAACGGAACAAACAATAAATAAAGAAAAAACCTACAATTATGAAAATATTTCCAATTTTTATTTCCACATTTCGCGTATTAGTCGCAGCGCATTGTTTCTCTAATCAATACAAAAAGTATTTTCAATTCGAACCGATAGTTCCAGAGATTGGCGCGTTCAAACAAACAAACAAGCTCTAGCTTTATCTATTAGTTTAGATTAACTATCTTGCACTGAATATAAAATATTACTTCTTCAACATGTACAAACAAAATTTCAAAAGCTCTTCATTAGCACAAGACTCGAAATAATCTAAACAATTCATATGAATCAGTTTTAACTGTTTTTTTGCTCGCGAGTGTATAATAAATTCCTATGGGCATTATAAATCGCATCGATCGTAAACCACTAATGTAATTGTTTGCTCTTAGTTCTAACCAATTGGGACTGATATGTGGATCTGGAAGAGAATTCATACATATAATTGCAATAATACGGAAATTATTATAATAAGTTTTTGCATTCAACGGAAAACATCAAAATAGAACAGGACGCATTTTTATCAATGAAATTCGTACTACATTACATTGAGTTTATATCAAACTAAAACATATGCGTAATTTTAACAAATTGATTGATGATGTTTCATATTGAAATGGTTTGCGACTTTATTTTTTCTTTGTATTCTTATATAAGATACTAGCTGTGTCAGCGACTTCGTCCGCATTTAGCAAACCCCTTCATCTTTACAAAATTCGATGTTAGCCACAACGTCGGTCGTGTCCCTTCCCGTCGCTCTTGCATGTTAATCTTAAAAGATGCATATAAAGCGTCACGAATTTTTTAGATTATTTAAAGAGGAATTATTCTCTCATACAATTTTTGGGAATATTGAACCGTTTTTGTAGCGTAGGCCTCGGAAACCGATAATGATGAATAATTTTCCCATTTTTTTTTACATTTCTCGCTGTATCTTCACACAGCCTTCCTCGATAAATGTTCAAACCAATGTCAAAAATAATTTTTCAATTCGAATCCGTAGTTTCTGAGATTAGCGCGTTCAAACAAACAAACAAACTCTTTAGCTTTATATATTAGTATAGATAAGGACCGTAGATGGCCCCCGTAACGAATAAAACATTTTTATGAATAAATTTACTGAATAAATAGTAGAAATCTATCGTTCATGGAGACTTCGTTTTCTGGTGTAGTATACAAAATACTTTTTTCTCTAAATGTTAGCACTATATAATAAACTTAACTTTTATTGACTTCTTTAAAATGGCAAGACTAGTTGTCTTAAGGCCAATATTAAACATAAGTCATTCACCATAATACTAAAGTTCTCATAATGAAAGTAACTTTAACCGAAGCCTTATAAGAGGCTTTTTTTATGAAAATCTTTTGAAATATACAGTTACACTTTAGTCAGTTCCTGAACGATATTAATGAACAGAACTTATGTTTCTACAAATGACTTGCATTTATATGGGTCCATTAATCCTTAGATAAAAAATCTACAATCAAATGCAGAGGCAGCTGATTGATGGCCCATTTCCCTCACTTGGTCTGCTGGGGAGCCTCTGGACTTTTGCCAAAACCAACGCTAAACAAGCTAAATGGAGATTCTATTGCGTAATTAACTTAGGCACACCCCGCTGAATTCGTAGGAAAACTTTTAAAATGATTATAACGGTTTAAAACGCGAAAAACTTATACTATTTTTTATTATGACGGCACTATCGTAATAGACAGCCATTATGAGCTCACGATACGTCGGGTCGTGGTTAAATTTACTACGCGATTTAAGGGTTCATACAGTTTATTTTAATGTATACAAGTAGTAGTACTTAAGTAAGATAATTTAAAAATTAAACAATAATCATAAACGGTTTAAAACTCAATATATTATAAATAACCTAATAACTATGACCCAACGGACCGTCTATTACTATTACCACCGTCTTAGCGATTCTGAGCTCGCGAAAAAAACCTAACTGTTTATCAAGCTGAATGTATCAGTTATTATAAAATATAAAAAAATCCAAATCAAAAATCATTTATTCATGTAGGTAGCTTAGTACACTTATGAACATCAAATCAGGTAAAAATTTAAAACTCTAAATTTACAGTTACTACCAGTTCCCAAGTTAGGGCGTAGAACGAACGAGAAGAACTGGCAAGAAACTCGCCGTTAAATAATTTCAACAATACATTTCGCGTTTTAAACCGTTTATTTGATTGAATACTTGAACATATTATTATTATTATTTGTATTTTTTGTTTGTTTGTTTGTTTGTTATTAAGAATTATTTAACACCCATCCTCTTTCTTACTTTTACAACTATACTATACTTGTAATAATCTACCTTTGCAGTATAAAAGGTCGAAAGCGAATTCCCGTTTATCCCTTTACGGGACAAAGGGCATATACTTATCTCCCTATTTAAGTCCTACATAAATACCCACACTTTCAAGCTTTCAAACTAATAACAAACGCCATTGTAATATGTTACTCTGCAAAAATGTTTTCCGAATATGTAGAGTAATGATGTGCCCGTCGTTAAGCTTCTAGAATGTTTTGGAAAAATGGGACATTATGTTACCGGCCCTTTTGTTTTAGCAACACAACGATTCAGCACTTTTATAGAAACAAAATAGGACGGCCTCGTTAATCCAATGGTAACAGTGTACGGCTAATAATAATCGGTCGTAGATTCGATAATTAAGTAATATGTTTTTGTGAATTAGGGTACTTCTGAAAACTTAATTTTTTCAGATACCATCATATGACATAACACATAATATGATCATTATATAAATTAAAAATCCGTGAAGTTAAATCGCTTTTCGGTTATGCCGTCCTCTCTCATAGAAAAGCACGGGTTTCATTTGAAGGAGGAAGGGAGGTGAAATATTCCAGCTATATAACATCTAAACAAGATGTGCTGTCGATCTATTTTCACTTTGAATATTCGTAAATCCACAGGCCAGAACCGAAACGCGATTAAACTGCTTTTTCATCTGTGGACGTTGGTTCGTGACCTGGACGGAATTTTGAACATTCCTACCGCCCAGTTAATATCCAGATTTCCAAACGAAGTCGAATATGTTGGACCCGGTGTGGATCGGACCCACGCTGATTACGGGCCATACATAGCTAGCATAACTCGAACTAGCTCGTCAAATGAGCCTGCCTGTTCTGCTCCATCATAAATGAACCGTTAAACTTCGACCATACTTGTCTCATACAGATTATACAACACGAAAACAACGATAATTCACAATCGATTTATTGGCAAGAGGCAACGTTTGTTTTCCTTAAGATAAAAGCCGAACGATAAATATTCCTCTACGCAGAGTTGTAGAGTTATTGTGCAAAAATGGTAATGATTTGGCATTGAGCATTTTGCATTTGATATTAAATGTTATAGCCATGTATATAGAGAGACTGTTCTCGCGACTCCGTCCGCGTAGAATACTTTTTAGTTTTTCAAACCTCCTATTTATCTTTATAAATTAAGGCGACGTCGTCCGCGTTCCGTCGTTCTTGCAAGTTCATCTTAAAAGATGGAGATATACTATCACGGATATTTTTTAGATCATTTCAAGACATATCTTTCTTTTTTACACATATTTCTTTGGTTTCTTAAACCATTTTCATAGCGCAAACAACGAAAGCTCTTATAGATGAGTAATGATAAGAAAAAAATTGGTAAATGTGGAAAAAACGGGGGAACGTTTTTCAACTCGAACCAGTAACTCAGATTAGCGCTTTCAAACAAACTCCTCAGCTTTATTACTATTATATTAGTACTGATATTTAATTTATTTTTAATAACTATGTTAAAATTTAGAAGGTAACAAACAGTAGGCTAACAAGTCAGGATGTTCTGAATTTTCTAATCATGGGAGCTTATAGCGCTAGACAGGTTAATTTTAAGGTTTATAACAAGCTTTTTTTTGGTGGTTATTTAACTAATTAAAGGTTAAAGCAGCAGCACGGAACGCTGTGGTTGCCGGTTCAAGACCCGTTTCGTCAAAAGATTGTTTTAAATTAAAAATACCTTCTCTGGGCGCCACCAGGCACCGGGGTCGCAGCTAGCCTGGCCTGTCTCTTAAGCAGCTGAACTGTGAGCGCAAAGGACACCACCATCATCAGCATCGGAATGTAAAACGCCACCAAGGACCCGAACACCCAAAACAGTCTGTTGTTGATGACACACAGTTCCGGAGTGGGCATGATGTTCTGTTTGTTGATGAGACCTGTGTGATGTTAACAAATTATACTTCGCTTAAATGAAATTTGAAATAGGGCGATAGAACAGTAGGTAGTCAAAAATACTTTTAACTGTTTAAAACACGAAGTGTATTAGTTAAACGTATTTACAAATTATTTTAACAACGACGCGACGCTTCGGATGCTTTGCAGTCCCAGGATGACCATGGCCGCTTACCTAATACATATCATGTTTTAAACCGTTAAAAGGTTGTCTGTAGTTAACGCGAGTAAAATAAATTCAAATAAAACACTAACGGTTTAAAACGCGATATATATTAAATAAACTTAATTGGAAACTATTTTAAACCGTTGAAGTGTTTTATTTGAACGTTAAAATCGTTTTATAAAATGTGTACTAGTCGTGCAGACAGTATTTGTTTAACGTCTCTGTAGCTAACGCAAGTTAAGTACTTAGTTTTACGTTTGAATGAATAACGATGCCGGTTCAAGTCCTACCCGAGTTGATTGATTTTTAATTTATAAGCCATTATGTTTACGAATAATTTCCTAGGACCCTTACCTATATCTTTCTACCCAGACAATCCTCAATGCAAATATTATTGCCAATTCAGCTCCTATTGTGTCCTCTTTGAATACTTGAAACATTTCAATAGACCTTTGCAAACTTTGAGGCACGGTCATTCGTTCGTATTCAATTTCCTTCATAGGGAGGTAGCTACTCTACTATGTTACTACACAGTTTATTATTATTAAAAAATAAAAAAAAATATGCCTTTAAATAAAACACTTGTGACGATTCAGCGCTAAATATATTAGCGCAAAAGTTGGAATGTAGTTAAATTAAATGAAACATAAGTTAAGTAATATGTTTTACTGTTACTACAGATAGTAATCTATAACTGTATCCCTATACAATATCTGTACACGTTATTATTTGACATAAAAATGTAATATTACGTATCGTGTGAGTAGTGCACATTTAAATAAGAAACTAAACGGTTTGAAACGCGAAATATATCAGTTATTTTTAATTACGATCCGATGCTTCGAATGTGGCAGCAGACTTTAGTAGTTGAAAATCATTCGAGTTTTAAGGGGTGTATTTTCTTTAAATTTAAATATTAATTCCCACAGCTGGGATTTAGGTTTTCCTGAAAGTATATTTTGGCTGTAATCTATTATGTTAGCCAATTTCACATTTCACGAAACCAATACTCCTCGTGTTATGCCATATTGTTGCTTCAATCATACTAATGTCCTAATGCTGATCACAAGTGTAAAAATTTCCACCACTCCGCTTCAGTGTGAGTTGTAGGTAGTAAGGAGTTCGTACAGCCACTATCCAGTGCTGGACACAGACCTGCCTATTGTCAAAGTTAAAAATTATTTATTCGTGTAGGTGACTATGTACACTTCTGAACGTCAAACCAGTTGAAAACTAAAGACTCTAAATATAAATTTACTATCAATTCTCCAAGCAAGAGTGTAAAACGAACGAGAAGAACTGGCAAGAAACTCGCAGCCACCCCTTTTATCGCCGAGTTTCATTCTACAGTCATCACGTACTTTAAGTGCACTACATATTTTTCTTTGTAGAGCGGGTCCCTCTGAACACCTTTTGGGGATCTGGATTCATGGAGCATTCGACCGGTCGTTTGCTACTTGAATCCAGAGGTTCCAACTACCATAACTAGGTTGTCTGTCTGTGGTAAGAGGTCGTCCAGGTTTTCGACGTCCGGTATGTACTAGGAGGTTAAGAGCGGACTCGAGAACCGCTGCCCCAACCGACACTGAATTAGTGAGGATGATGGTGATGCTGACTTCTAATTTCAAATTTTAGGCTGATCAAAATGAAAATAGAAATCTTAGAAGAATTCCAAATAACGCAATTACATTCGCTTCCTTCAAAAGCAAAATCTAAGTTATTTTCCCATTTGTTAATGTCGAAATTTGAAAAGAACAAACATCCAATCTATCGGTATTTGAGTTCTTTTTGTCAGAATAACAAATTCGTTTGAGCCAAATCATTAGATTCCAATCAGAAAGTGAAAAAGTTTAATTTACAGAGCCTCAAACGCGTGCGCCGTATTAGGGTCAGCCTACACCGACGCGAGATGACATTTGATGAAGCCAAGAGTTTTAGAATATTTTACTAATATATATCGCCTTTTAACCGTTAAAATGTATTATTTCTTGCGTAAACTACAGACAGTATTTAACATATAACCCTAGCAATATTTAACAGTATTTTCAGTGTTTAACAATTTTACCATTATTACATTATTAACATCTTCGCAACACTAGTGATGTACGCTGCACTACACTGCTTTTGACGGCCTCTGTGAATATTCGCCGTGTCGCGTCGCGTCCATTGTGACCTGACCCTTAGCTACAAAGCGAGATTAAGAGAATATTCTCTTTGACGAATTTTTACCCTCACGTACGTCATTATTGCGTTCTGAACAATTTCACTTGAACCCTTACCGTTTGTTATGCTGCACGCGTGCGGAGGCGAATATTTCTGGCGTTCAATCGCGTCAAAATCAGGGGAAACGGCGTGTAGAGCGTTTAGTAAATATATTCAGCCTTTCTACATCGAAAATTCTAGATGTCTTCAAGTCAATATTGACTGTTACGCGAGCGGTACACATTGAAATAAAACACTTTGACCGATATAACATTCGGTCAGTTTGGCTTTAATAAAACCTTTGGACAGTTTAAAACGCGAAATATATCAGTTAATTTTGTTACGACTTGACGTTTCGGATGCTTTGCAGCAGCCGTAGTCACGGGGAGACAAAGCATTAAACTGAATACGCATTCAAGCTAAAGTCTGTATACAATTTAATTTTTTAATTTTATTTTTTTTGTAGCAAAGCTGCATTACTTAAATTTAAATACAATATTGAAAACCATTACATCTTATTAGTTTAATATTGAGTTTTGTTTAATTTAAGCTTTTATTTATTAAGTTGGTCAGCTCCTAATATCAGAAAAAAAACAAGAGACGCTGTGACCTTATAGTGTTACTTAATTTACTTTTAAATACGACTCGACGTTCTGATTGCTTTACTTCGCTGTAACCACTTTCCAATACTCGTAAATTATCCGAGATGACAGGTCATTCTTAAAAGTAAATTTTACTTATATAGTTGTGAACTATTTCTGTCCTCCTATGTCACATAAAAAAGTGATTTAAATAACTTTTTTTTACATACATTTGTCTCAGGTGAACATTGAAGTCTAAAATTTAAGCTTAACAAAATCAATAAGAATCATGAATGAGGTAAAATCAGTCACAAAATGGGACACAATCCGATTTCGCATAACTTCCTTTCGGTAACTTTGTTCCTATAAAACGCACGATTTTCAGTAAGCAGTCCCTAAGGTGGATGGGAAAAGCCGTTTTCAATTTTACCTAACACGATAACGATGCTAGAAATATCCATAAAGAGATTCTTATCATTTCGATTCTTTATTACGGTATAAATTTCAATCAGCAATCATTTGGTTTACGAAAAAAACAAATGAATTATGATTAAAAATCGTTTAGTACTTTTTAAAGATCCGAGAAGTACAGTTCTATGCTATGTCGTATTTTTTATTTTTACTACCTTTAGGTAATTTAAGTATGTATTTGTTAGTTTAAAGTTAATTGAAATTGCCTAAAACTAACATTAAGTACAAGGCGAACAAGAAATATATAAAAAAAACTGTTTATGAACACATGAGATTGGGACATGTTAAATGACTCTACAAATAAAAATATACAATAAGAATTACAAAAATAATTAAATGTACATGTGAAAATATTGCAGAACGCAATAAGCCCGTTGTTTTAAAACATCTCAGTCCAGGGATAGAACGAAACATTTATTCAGTACTTCGAATTTTTCTATCTGTCTAGTACTATAAGAGTTTGGAAATTAAAAGGCCGTCTTTATCATCATCTCATAATGATAAAAGCCCTGTGGGGTTCATAAGTGAGCATAATTAAACCAAAAATGCGATTTCAAAGAATCCCCTCTATCAAGAAAAAAGTACGTGAAGACTGTACAATTAAACTTGGCGATAAAAGGAGTGGCGGCGAGTCTCTTGCCAGCTCTTCTCGTTCATTGCATTATTTCATTGCACGCCCTTGATTTGAGAACTGGTAGTAAGTGTAAATTCTTTAGTTTTTAATTGACGTTCGTAAATCTAGCCAATTACGATAATAAATGATTTCTGAACTTCTTTCTATCAATTTTCTAGACATTTCGTAGTATTCCTACTCTGTGGAGAGTTAATTCAGTGTGTATAATCGCCACTCAACAAAGTATTACTTCGCCGCGATGCAGTTATTAAGGTACAAGCATCTCTGAAGTATGTATAGCGAAACTGTGGAGTGTTTCGTAATGAGAGTAAAAATTTTAATTACCTCTTTAACGGCGTGCAAGATCGCTCCCAAGTGTCTTTAAGAAGCTTCGTTCGTTCTTATAAAATTATTAACATTAGTTAAGTAGTTCTGATATGGCGGTCTTCATGCATAAGTAGAATGGAACCTAGTGGCTTAATTTTTATAACAGAGGAAGATACGATGTGCATGGGAACATCTAATCAACTATTTTGGCTGACTAAAGAACATCTTAATTCTTTAAGTCACAACTGAAACCAAAACGGGATTAATTTATCGTGATTCGTGACCCGTTAAGTCCAGATTATTTTTAAACTGATTTGTAGAACAAAGTTGGACCCGCCAGAAAACGACAGCAATGAGCCTGTCAAATTATAAAGTACAATTGTTATACGTTTAGAGATGTTAAACGTCCCCGGAGCAGATACATACAACGTGTTGCCTTGCATTGTGTAGATGGGTTCGAATCCTGGGAAAAATAAAACATTTCAGTCTATCAAGTACCTACATAGACGCATCTTTATTAGGATAGACGAGAACGGATAAGGGTGGAGTTCACTTGTAGAAGTTAAAATACCCAAGCCCCACAACTTTTAAAACTGTGCGCTTTTGACCTGTATCGGCATTAAACATACAAGCTTTTTGTCTATCTTTACAAGACTATTGTAAAATCCTGTTTGAAACCTTCCGCTATGTCGGTAATGTCTTTAACCAATGAATCACGAGGGCGAATAAAAGTACTGTATTTGTCATACATGTTAAAAGTATGTAAATAGCGAACATAAGTTATTGTTAAGATCTAGCGAAGCAGAGCGACGTTTCGTAATCGTCGCTTAACCTTTTCCAGTTGAATGCGTTTCACTTTCATGGAAAATTGTTTTCTTCATTTTTTCTTATAAGACGTTGTGAAGATTTAAAATGTTTTTATTTTTAAGCTTCAAAGAAATACAACGTTCAAAAAGTTTGTTACAGATAACAGATATTTGAATTACATAGATTACTACTTGTACAACAAAACCACGTAGTTGCGTATACTTGAAAGAATGATTACTAAATACTGTCTGTAGTAAACGCGAGTAGTACACATTAAATTAAAACACCCGAACGGTTTAAAACGCGATACATTAGTTAACGGCCCGACGTTTCGGATGCTTTGCAAAGCAACGCCGGGCCGTAGTTAAAATAATCGTCCAATAAGTATAACTAATATTTATCGCGTTTTAAATCGTAAGTGTTTTATTTATCCCGCGAAAGTATATGTCCATCTTTTATGAATAACTCGCAAGAACAGTTTTTAGTCGAAATTATTATTACCGCGTTTTGTTAGAGTCGTGCCAACCTAATAATATTATCTCGCAAAGAACACAACGTTTGCTGGATCAGCCAGTGTATACAAATACACTTACCCAGAACTGTGATGGAACTCGACACGATCATGCTTAATAACCAGACGAGAGCTATTTTGATGAGCACCACGCGCTTCGTGGAGTGATGGCGACTCTTCAAAGGGTTCCGGATACCTAAATACCTAGAAAATACAATGTTAAAGTCAAATATCGATTTAATACAATTAGTAACAATTATATCCAAATATATAATAAATAAAAAAAAATGTAGTCTTAATATTGTCGACCACAATATTAAGTAATTTATTGTTGAGTTGGGAGTGGTGGGAGCGTTCGAGACCCCAGAAAGTGTCTTCGGCTATATTAATTTAGAACGAAAACATACAATATTATTTATTTGTGAATTGTTATAAGTCAAAGTCAAATCGGCTACATAAGCGCCATCTGTTTTGCCGTAGTTGGTATTTGGAGAAACTGACTTGGTCCTTGCAGAACCGACTCTACAATACACACGAGCCGTTGGGCCGTAGTTTAAGTAAACATAAGTTAAATATATTAAGCGTTTTATATCGCTAAGTGTTTTATATTAACGAGTACTACTCGCGTTAACGACAGACAATACTCAGTTTTGACTCATTTGTCTAATGGTAGCAATGTATGGCTAATAACCAACAGGTCGTGATTTAGATCCCCACCGGGTCAAACGTGTTCCTTATCATTCAATTTATAATTTTTCTGAAACATTGGACTTCGTCTTTTATTGGGAAAAAAGTATTTTAAAAACCAAATTTCAATGGCAAGAAAACATCTCTCGCATCAAAAAGAAATTACCTAGAAACATTTACCTAATATTGAGTATTAACAGCGATAAACTTCGCAATTAACCGAGTTTTCCTTAAACACATTACGACATTTGCGTTTTTCATCAAATGTTTATTGGGAAAAGTTGAAAAATCCTCAACGAAGCCAGATCCGTCGTAATGGATTTCTTTATCTCGTTATTAATCTTCGGAAGTTTGCTTCACAACTTTTAAAAACAACTGAGGAGGAATTAACGGAATGTAGATTCACGGAATGTAACGGAATGTATAATTATTCACTATTTTCTTTGAAGTTGTCATATCTTTATATGCTAGCACTTTAAACTGTTTAACTTTTGACCGCGCAAAATCTTTTAATTTACCAGATAATAAAAATCCTTTATCACACTGCACGGTGTGGAGCTGACAGGGACACTACTATATCGTAGTACACACTTTAATGGAACACTTTTAACTTTTTAAAACGCGAATTTTAGAAAGCCAACTTTGACATGATGAATTACTAATATGTAAAGAGTTGTCGAATGGCCCGACAAAATGAATGTCTCTTCGTAAGTAGTTTCTAATTAACTTAAAACGAAAACACAAAATATTTAATGGTTGAATCGATCCAAACATTTTAAAGTTATTCCATACCTATTTAAAGAGGAATTATTTCTTTGCACATATTTTTTGGGAAAACTGTTTTTGCAGCGCACGCAACGTCAACCCTCAAAGATTAAAACCCTCAATAGAGAATATATTTTCCGATTTTCCACATTTCCCACTGTGTTTTCCTAATAGTCGCAGCTTAAAGCCTTCCTCGATACATGCTTCAACCATTACACGAATCATTTTTAAATTCGGACCAGTAGTTCCTGAGAAGCAAACAAACAAACTCTCCAGCTTTAATATATTAATAGTAGATGTCTCACACTGTTTACCCGGTTTATAATTTCCTCCGATACGTTTAGTGTCTGTATTCGTGGCCGTCTCCGACATATATAAATATAATAATAAATTAACTAAGTAATAACTAAAACTTTATTTTTAATACATTACCCGTTATTTCAATATATAAGTAGAATTTAACAACGCCCTTATTTACCTCATTGTAAACTCATCAATATTCATGCAAAGTGAGGCTGAAAGCTTTTGAAAAATACACTCGAATCTCATCTTACTGAGCGCATGTAGAGCGGATGAAATGGGCCTCAATTCTCAAATGGATTTACCGCTGAAAATTCAAGAATCCTGATAGCTTTACTTTCGGTATTCTCAGCACGGACAACTGAATATATGCAGAACGAAGTTATCTAACGGTTGAAGGAAATTGGGAGTGTACTGCAAAGGTTTTTAATCATTTCTAATGACAGCAAAATATATACGCGACCTCGTCTGAGTGTACTAGTTATTTTGGGCTTAATTTATTTGTTTGCATACTTAGCAGCTTTTAAAATTATAGCTGTGAGTTACACGACGTCAAACGCGATCCGTCGTTCTTGCAAGTTGATCTTAAAAGATAGACAATCGCTGTCGCGGACATTTTTTAAAGAATTTTGCACATTGTTTTACAGCTTTTGTATGGTTTCTTGAACAGTTTCCACAGTGCACGCAACAGAAGCCCTCAAAACTAAATATTTTCCTGGCTTTAACCACATTTTCCTGTTTCTTTGCTTCTATTAGTCGCTGTCTGATCCTTATGCCTAAAGGCGTCCTTGATAATATTTTTTTCAATCCGAACCAGTAGTTCTTGAAATTAGCGCGTTCTAAGAAAAAATCTCTTCACCTTTATAATATAAAAAAATATTATTTTGTTTCTTACTACTTTCTGTATTATACAATTATTATAAAAGGAATATTTATAAACAAAATAACTATAATTTTATGTGTTTCTCTCACATATATAGCTGCGCCATTTTAAGTTTTATAAAAGGTTTGAAGAGCAAATATATTTCAAATTTAAATTGAAGTCTAATGGACTCTACTGAATTTATATGAAAAAATTACGTTTCCTTCAGTGCCGTCAATCGACATTAATAATGATTCTCTATTAGTAAAATACATTTTCCTGAGCGAGACATTTACATAAATTCACTCATCTAGAGGCTGTGAAAAACTAATTGATTATCATTTATGACATATCGTGGAAGCCTGATATGATAAAAATAAAACACTTTAAGTGATTTTAAACGCGAAATATATTAGTTAACGTTTGCTTTGCAACAATCGTAGTCCGAAAGCATTCGAAAAGTTGGGGCTTAGTTAAGATAAATTCACTTGAATGTTTCACGTTTTAAACCGCTAAAAGTGTTCTATTGTAATCTTTGAAAATAGCCTATAATATGTGGACATTTGTGCATTTTTGTGTCGAAGTCAGCTTTTAGCTTTTTGGGTTGCTGTCACTTTAACGTAAATTTTAATAAAAAAACACCGAAATTTCAATAGGGAGGAAAGGCCTCAAATTATCAAACGCCTGGGATCCCATATTAAAAATTCTGGATCCCAATAAACAGCATACCGGCAAACGCGAAGATACCGTTAGTCAATTCTGTAAGGACCCGGCCAGTTTCGCCAAATACCAACTTCGACGGAACAGATGGCGTTAGCGTAGCAATTTTTTACTTTACTTACTCGATCTTTAGTCTCCCCGTGGCCACGGCTGCTGCAGAGCATCCGAAACGTCGGCCTAAGTTAAAAATCATTTTCAAATAAGTTGAACTAACATATCGCGTTTTAAACCGTTAAAGTGTTTTATCTAAATATTATTGTACAATTCAATGGAACCGAACCATTCGTGTTTAAAAATGACTCACATTTAGCCGTTTTTTATGTTCAGTTTATTTAGTTCTCAGTGTATTTATTGATATTGTTCAGAACTAAGACGTAAACTTACTTACTGTATGTAAACATCTTATGTTTAATACAGACTAATATTTTTTAATTCAATTGTAATTAGGGTCAGTAAGATGGCTCCGTGCTAGTGATATTAACAGCAAGAAAAAGCTGTACACATAAAAACTATTTTCAGCATATTTGTTTATATTCCCATTGAACTGTATGCACGCTTGTGTTGCGAAAGCAGTGTTTTTAATTATAATTGTTGTTAGGAATATTGCCCGTTTTAAACCGTTAAAAGAGTGTTATTTCTAAGGAAGAAATTTTTTTGCCGGTTTAAATCGCTAAATATTAGTCATAGTAGTGAAATTATTTATAATTTAATGTAACTATGGCCCGACGTTTTGAACGCTGTGCAGGGGCACAAGATAGATTGGAGATGTAGTGTCCCTAATGTCAAAGTCAAAATTTCTACGCTAGCGCCATCTAGCGGACGTCAAAAGTTTTTCAAATATATGTGTACTGCTTGCGTTAAACCACAGACCCTACTAACCACAGACCTACTACTACTTAAGGGTTTTATTTTATAATTTTGTCTCTTCAACTCTAAACCCCTACCCTAGTAAATGGATTCATGGTCTAATAAATAAATTGTTAATGTTACTGTAGTGGATTATAGCTACAGATATTTTATTTGCTAAAAATAGCTATAACTTTGTTTTTCAAATGAAATTGATTTAATTTACTACAAGTCTTGTGTCGTTTCAAGATGCCTGCAGTAAGATCTTAAATTCTTAAGAACAGAAAATAAAGATAGACAAAGAGAAGTGAAGTTCCACTTTTACGACATCATAAATGTTTTCTTTCCATTTTTCGGACCACTTCCTTTAAAATAGATCTTGTTTCAATGGTAGATATGTCTAGGTAGACATGAATCGATTTTTACAGACAGACAGACAAACACAGTGCTTTGTATTGCTATATCCACTGTTGTTTTCGCTCCTGTTGGTCGCATCCTGATGCTTCATAGCCAAAAGCCGTCCTCGAAAAATGCTCTAACCGACACAAAAATGTTCAACTCACCAATAGTTCGCGAGATTTGGGCGTTCAAACAAACGAACTCTTCAGCTTTATGTAATAAAGTATAGATCAAGAAGACGCGCTGTAGAACCTATTTTGGCTTTGGGAAGTTGTAAATGTAAAGACTAAAAGTGACAACTTCACAGTTTTTGTATATATACGTGATCAGACCGTAATCTCAAAATTATCACATTTTCCGAGTGAAATCAAACAGACGTATATTTAAAAAAAAATGTGTAAACTGAGTCTGAATATCTCTCAGTAAACCATCAATAAATTTAATCGCATTATTAGAATTATAATTGCTATAAAAACAACGACATAATCATCACAGCTTACATTATATATCTTAACTTTGCAACTCAAAAGTAATCTTTATTGCCGGAAAAAATGTTTCGGCTGACTTATTAAAAAGCTGGATTATACGCTAAACCGGGATAGCATTTTCCACACCAAAACACAAACAATCCAACACCATGTAATATTCAAATTTAGGCCAGAATTCCCACAAACTATGCGAGTGTTAAACATTTAAAAGGAGCGTTTTCGCACTTCCAAATTGAATCTTGCTCGCTTCGAATAAGACTTAAAATGCGTTACACAGAAAATCGGAGTAGGCAGTGATTTTGGAGCTTTAAGGAATATTCTTAGGCATAAACACAATGTATGTGAACTTGTAACGACTTACAATAGTCGTATGTCGATGTCGGATTTAGCTAAGTCTTGAATTTAAGTGTTGTACATAAACCTAAAAACGACGCACCAATATAATAATTAGGGATAAATTCGCCACATTAGAGTAATTAGTTCTTACGCGACTGTGAAATTTTAATATTATACCAAATTTATAGCCTTACCTACTCACTAAGATATCTCAAAGATGAAACTGCGTAAAATGCGTTGAAAATGCTGGGTTCAAAGCCCCAGGAAAATACTAAAATTAGTATTCAAACGAAACACTTTTAACGGTTGAAAACGCGGAAAATACACGAATTTGCTACCTTCCATATTCAGAACCCCCTGAACAAGGAAAAGCTAAAGAAATGTCGAACCGTACCTTAATTAAATTCAAAATAAGCGTAAGTTTACTATGAAATTAGTTAAAATTATTTATTATTTATTGTGTGTTAAACGGTTAAAAGTGTTTTATTTAAATGGATATTATAATAAATTGAATATATAAATTTCAAATATTTGAAATATTTCAAAAATTTTAAAATATTTGAATGTGTACTCCTCTCAGATACTATTTTAATTATTTGCGTAAATACGTTTTCCTCGTTTCTAAACGAGTTATTAGATGACTTCAGGTTACGTAATAATGAGGTTTCATTTCTTCTTAAAATGCAGCTGAAAATATAATTATTAAGCGGCAAGTACGATTTTTTTCTCAGAATTTTCCCTCTTCGTAACAATATCTCCATTCTGGCTATGATTAGGGTGAGCGGGCCCAGTCGTAAAGATAAAGAACCAATCTATTCTATTAGGCGGGATCCAAATATGGAATATTACTAATATTTTCTTGGGAAAAAAATCAATAATACTGGTACACTTTGTACAGTAACTTTCAACTGATATAAATCTAGTATTACACTGTTTGACTCATTTAAAAACAGGCATTTTACGCGAGAACTACACATTTAAATAAAAGACTTTTAACAATTTAATACTCGAAATATATCGATATAGACTCATCCCGTCGTCATAGCTGTTGTCCGGTCACGTCGGCTCTTAACGGTATTTTATTTAAATAATTTAAGTTCATAGTTTAAATTATACTTAATACCAGTTCTCAAATAACGAACGAAAATAAATGGCAGGAAACTCTTTCTCTCTCTCTCTCTCAGAAACTGGTTAATGTTGTTTCATATGCAATTGGAAATTTCAATTTCTCACTATGAAAATTAAAAAAAAGAGTTTTGATTTAGAAGCTTTTAAATAAATCTAATAATTAAATTCCGCCACATTGTTTGTTCGAGAATTCCTCCAAAACGGTAAACCGACTTAAATAAAACTTCGTACGTATATACTACGTTTTATTCAAGTCGGTTAACGTATATACAAAGCTCACACGATCATACTAGCATTTTAAACCGTTAAAAATGTTTTATGCCCTTTTTTCTGGGACAATTTTCTCTAGAGATAAGTTCTAGTTTTTAGGATAACATTTGTATGTATATACTGTACCTTCCAATGCTGATGAAGCACATGTGCATAATGCTGGCAGAGCACGCGAGCACGTCACACGTCACGTACACGTTGCACCAGACCACGCCCAGCGGCCAGTAACCTGCAACGTTGCACGTTCGACAAATATAAACAAACATCCGCCAAGGTTTGCAAACTGTTAGCCGCATGTTATATTTTGAGTTTCATATGAGAAAACATACTGTCCAAAAAGAGCATCACACAACGGTACAAGATTTAAAAAGATAAAAACTTGTCAGAGTTTTTGATTCTCATTTAAATAACTTTTACCGGTTTAAAACGCGACATGTACTTCTCGTTTAGTTAACTTATTAAAAGTCGAGCGGTAGTTTAGATAAACTAAAATTATTCGTGTTTTAAACTGTTAAAAGAGTTTCATTTTAATGTGTATTATTCTATCTTAGAATTCTTTAGGAATATATTATATAAACCGAAGTGTATATACTCGCATGTTGTCTAAAAGTAGGTGAAAACGTTGTTAATTTGCTCTTGATTGAGTAGTACAGCCAAGCACGAGGTTCACTCGATGGAAGGTTAAATACCGTAGCCATACATCGAAACCATCCAAAGACTTATTTATGGATGGAGGGAAATCGATATTCCCACCGCCCATTTATTTTCCACGTTTCTAAACGAAATTCAACATGTTACAGAAAAATTATAAATGGATCAGAAAAATTATGCATAAATTTACACTTACCTAAGAACCCCGGTATCGCCCCCATCGGCATAACAAACAAACTGACCAGCAGATCCGCTATCGCCAACGACAGCAGAAAGTAGTTCGTCACATTCTGCAGTCTCTTGTCCAGACACACGGCTAAACACACCAGAATATTCCCTAGACCACCGGCCACGATAAACAGAATCACAAACAAGAACGTCCATTCATATCTAGCCTCAACACCGACCACGCCGTTCGTGAAATTGTCATTCCAGTTACACTGAAAACTCTCGAACACACTCAAACTGTCATTAGTCACACTGTACGTCCGCATTGAATCGTGAAAGCATACCAGATCGTTCCAATCGCAAAGATAGTCGGGTAGTTTCACCCAGAGGTTCTTGAGCGCGTTTTCGAAAACTACCGTCATTAAATTGAGCCTAAACTCGCACGGAGCACCGTCGCTGCTATTTCCCACGGTACATCCGGCGCAGGTATACGAAGTCTCATTTTGGGCGTCCAAGTTTAGCTCGCAGTTGTAGAGGAGAGTTACGTTCTGCGAACATTCCAGGCCGTGGGTTATTTCGTCTGCACAGCTGGGGCCGCTGAGGAGTTTGCATTTCAAATGTTCCAGCTCCGATGTGATATTAGTCATAGCAGGGAGATTTATGACATCGCAACGCGGGGTAGATAAATGTCATCGTATATTCCTCCGTCTAGGTTATTCTGTCTTGCAGCATCTTGGAGCCAGATTCAATAACTGGAACAATGGAACTTAGTTTATTATATAAATACTCTACTTAAGAATTCTTTGAGCATGTTTAGTAAAGTGATTGGTATTCATCGGAATTTTACGTTATTATTAAAAAAAAATAATTTGAGGATATAACTTGCTAGTTTTCAATATATTGTATTCTTCTACTTTCTTTGTAAAGTTTCTCATAGTTTAAAAGTTACATAACTCCCTGTGTTTTTATTTCATACAGTGACAATTATATCTTTTACAAGTAAGCAATTAAATGTAAGTTACGCAAGCATAAGCTACAATACAATTTAACGTAATAACTGTTAAGGTGCAAGTATCAAAAAATCGACGATACGTACACAGATAAGGACACGGAACCATGTTGATGCCGGTTCGAGTCCTGCCCCTGTCCTAAATTCGTTTTTAAATAATATAATGTGCAATAACATGTGAAGAATATTAAAGTTTTTATCCCGTTTAAACATTTTCAGCCCTGTCTTACCGAAATAATATTTGTCGAAATTGAACCCGATGTCGTTTGAGGCACAATGATAATCAAACCACGGAAATGGTTTATTGTGAAATAGTATTTTTAACTACAGATCTTGTATAAACGGTATGTATATCATTTATGTCACAGGTCTACGATTGCCTCGCAGCATTCAGTTTTGTCTAAAAGCTCTTTGTAAAGTACAAAAGTCCTGAGTTAGCTGAATTCCAGACAAAAGTAAAAAGAAAATTCCTTCAGCGATAATTAGTTTTTTGCATTACAGCGGGGATAAGCGAATTAATTAACCCCTTCTTTTCAAGATTCGCCTGAAACCCACACTATGATGATAGAATTAAAGTTTTTGTCGCATTAATAAACAGAAGAAAATCTGATGACATTTTATATTTATGGTTTGTTAGCAACCAATGGGTCGTGGGTTTGTTTCCCTCCGACACTACACTGAAGTAAAAATTTACATTTCGGTTTGTAATAACGTTGTACTAATAAAAATGGGTCGACAGTGTATTTTGTTTTGAAGGCAAATAAAATTGGGATTAAAAATACGATTATAAAATGAACAATTTACGAGTCGCACAGGACTTAAACCGGCATCCACGGCGCTCTGTGAGTGGTTAATTTATGTAATGCTATCATATGCAATACTGGCTGTGTCAGCGACTTCGTCCGCGTAGAATAGTTATTTTGGGCATCCATTTTTTTTTGAAACCTCTACATCTGTATAAATTTTCAGCTGCCCACGAACTCGTTCGCGTCCCGTCGCTCGCGACCGGTATTCTTATATATTTATTTTTTGAGTGTCTTGAACGGTCGCAGCATACGCATCTGAAACCCACAGAGAAGAAAAATTTCCCCCGTTTGGTTCGCATTTTCCGCTGTATCTTCGCTTCTATTAGTCACATCGCGGTCAGCGCGTACAAACAAACTCTTGAGGTTTATATATTAGAATAGATGTGAAAAATATTACATTTTTCGAAATTGGAATTTTCAATATCTATACATATAGTAACTGTTTATAAATTATAGCCGTTAACCACCACGTCGTTTGGGTTGTGTCGCAAATAGTTTTTTTAGATCATTTAAAGAAGAATCATTCTTAATTTTGAAAGTCTTAAGGATGAATAAATTTCCCCGTTTGTTACACATTTCCCACTGTTTCTACGCTCCGTGTGATCGCAGCGTGATGATTTATAGCCTAAAGCCTCCCTCGATGAAATAATTTCAATTCAATTCAAACCAGTAGTTCCTGACATTAGCGCGTTCAAACAAACAAAGAAACTCTTTAGCTTAATATATTAATATTAATATACTACATATATGAGCACAGCTAACAAACCGCACATTTATTATGTATGACGTGTGAATGCATCTCATATCCGCAACCTTGGTGGCTGAAGACAGGATAGCAGCATATTGGAATGGAAATGACGCGCTTAGCACCAACGTCTTAATGGCTCATAAACTTGGCACGTGCTTTGGACCTTCGCAAATGCAATGTTTACGTCCACTACATCAATAGGAGTTAAAAGACTAGAAAAAGAAAAGTCCATATATGTTAATACAAGTGTTAACTTTCGTATCCAAGGACGAAACTTCAAATAGGTTGCTGATTTTCAGACTGTCTTATTATCAAATAAAATACTTTTAACGGTGTAAGAAGCGAAGTACATCAGTTAACTTACTTTTAATTAATTTTAACTATCGCTCGACATTTCGGATGCTTTGCAGTACCCGCAAACTGTCAAAGCAAATTTGCTACGCTAGCGCCACATCGTCGTAGTTGGAATTTGGAGAAACTAACTGGATCCTTACAGAACCGTCTCACGGTGTACCTCGTATGCATACCTTTTTACCAAACATAAGTTAAAATTATATTTCCCGACCCGACGTTTCAAATGCTTTGGGGGCCGAATCATTGGCTTGTAGTTAAACATAAGTTTACTAATATATCTTGCAATTGAAACCGCAAAAAATATTTTATTAAAATAAGTGACTTATTATTGCGGTTTTCTTATTTTACCACGAAATAGATATAGATGATAGAAGTGACGTGTAAGTGAAACATTTCACATAGCTCGTTGTATTTTGTGTGACATTTTAACTATCACTAAGTGTCATCCATGAGACAATGAACTAAAACTCGGCGCCGCAGCAAATATGTTGCTGCAGCATATTTATGTGTGTATTTTTTTCTTGCTGTTATTTATTCTTTGATATTATTGTACAATTTTGTATGCGTACTGAAAACTTTAAAGGAAATAAAATTTCGCCCAGATAGTTAAATTAAAAAATAATAAAATACATCGAAAGATTGTTCTGTATTAAACGAGCTATTGGAATGGAAAAATGATTCATTGACAGTGATAATATTCACACAGGCGTTATAATTGATGTGTTTATATTTATGTCAAACAATTCTAGTTCATTTATTCCATAAACGATCTTAAACCTCTTTTACACATTTTAAAAATACTAAGTAAAACCTCGTTTTAATGGTATGTCTGTGTTGTTATTTTACGCATTTATATAAAAAAAAATAACTATTTAAAGGGCGAAATATATTGGTCAACTTCAACACAGTCACGAGGGGACCACGCCTCCTACTGCATCATCCGAAACGTCGGGTCGTAGTTAAATTAAATATAGTATTATATTTTGCGTTTTAAACCAATAAAAAGTTTTATTTAAATCAATCTTCTCGTACTCGAGGTTTTCTAAAGGTCCTATAAGAGAATTAGAATTCGCTTTTCAAAACCGCTTTACCTTTGTAACATATCAACGGAGTTGTAAAGAATAGCTATATACGAACGTTTCAATACACGAGAAACGGAGAAATTCTCAAAAGAAAATATTTAAACCAGTCTCGCGAAACCAGGTTCGCTAAAGCAATGTGAAGAAGGCTTGTAGCTTACTATTCAGTTGGCGTAGAAATAGAATTATTCCGAAGTGAGGTTTCAGTTTGAAACACACTTTTGTTGTTTGTAAATAATAGCAGTGCAGGGTTGGGATTGCCAATTATTCTACTTAGATAGCGCCCTCAAGTATTGTCAATAGTTTTTGCGAGAGACATTAGATATTCGTAGTTAAAATGATTCAAGTTTCTAGCGCTCGTGTATTTTTCAGATACAAAAACAAAACAGACAGATAGTCAACAAAATGGTTTTATAGAGTATGAAAGATTATTGTGAAGCCTACCTTTGTCGGTACTATTGTTTACGTTTTTGTCTTGTTGTATGATCCTTGATTTTAAAAACTTATTTATTTATCTTTTAAAATAGGTACGTACTAAAATAAATATCTTATGTCTAAGTGTTTCAGCAATGAAAATTCTAAATAAAAGCTTTTTAACTGTTTACAACACAAATAAATCGGTCACTATCGAGACAATGTTGCATAGTCATGGATCCTGTAAAGCATCCGATACTTTGGATCTTAGTTTAAATTAACATATTTTGGTTTTAAACCGTAAAAAGTTATTTAACTTACAATTTACTACGTTTCACGCCTATATTACAACTCAGCTTTAAAAGGGCTAAATAAATCGTTATGAGAATTACCTCGCTGTTCTCAAAAATAGCCATTGTCTTAATAGCAGCGATTATGAGAAGATCTTAATAACACCTGGAACGTGGCGCTGTCGTCGCTTGATTGGCCTTCACCTTTGAAAGTTTCTTACACGACCAGACTATGAAACTGTTTTATCTCTTCTCATGCATTAGATATATCATTTAACTCAATAAATGCCTTATTGAGTGAACGATTAAACGCGTTGCTTACGCTGGTGTCCTGGGTTCGAATCCCGAGGTACTTAATAATTAGACAAAGAATTATCTGTAAATAAAATCTATCAAGTATTCTACAGTTCATGCGAGTTGTTTACATTTAAATAAAGCATTTTGAAGAGTTTTAAACGCGAAATATAATAATTAACTTATTTTAAATACGGCCTGATGTCATGCTTTGCATCAGTTGTGGTCACGGGAGACCGTTGCCCACAGTTTAAAAAAAGTAATGTATTTCTTGTTTCAAACCGTTAAAAGTGTTTGATTTAAAATCTATCAATAAAACTGATACAGAGATGTCTGCCTATAATTTATGTAGGATATGAATTTCGTTAATTAAACTGAATATTTCATGTAATTTTAAAAATTATGTATGTAGGCAATTTTCATGAACATTACAAAATATGGTTTAATCTTGTATAGAGGCCTACGAAGCTACGAGCTCTCAACTTATTGACAGGTCACATAATTGTTACTTAATTTCCCAACGTCCAAGGTTAAAATAGATCGCCATCGCATCTTACTCAAAAATGGCTGATTCATCTTCACGAAACGAGCTGTGTCTGCCTATGTTATAAAACGCTTACTAATTAAGATTTAATATGAAACCCGAGTAATAA